ACTGTTTGTAGACAAAAGCAAATTTTCTTTTTCCTAACAGACACTAAACATTCAAAACTTTTGAGTGTGTTCAAACGTCTCCACTTGCTGAAAGGATCAACTTGAAATTTAGAGTTTCACATTTGTTTTCTTTAGCATGTGAAATGCAGATATTTGTCAGCAGTGATTGTGCTTACCAAAACCCTTCATGCTCCAATTGGCCTATAAATGGAACCTCCAGTTCCACTTAACTCTCTCACTCTGATTCGCAAGACATGATCCGAAATGAATGGGCTTCCTCTGAAACAGTCGAGATGTGGGATCAAATATCTTTATGACTGAATGGCTTTTACTAACCTCTGCAGACCTGAACACAAATACTTCAATCTAAACTCAATCTCCAGCATGTGCACCATTAATGAACGGTAATGAAAGGCAAGGCGCATTTGATGTAGACAAAATAACAGATGGAAGTGCAGAGCTGGAGAACTATGACATCGTTTTTTGGCACTTGGAAAAGCCCAAGGCAAGAACAATATTAATTCTTTAGACGTCACTGATTGATTTAACTGCAAAACTGTGAATTTCCAATTCTGCCGGAAAAAGGGGCTGAGGAAAAAAATGTTTAGTGAAGTTAGTGAAATTTCCTCAGTGCGTGGTTCTTGCTGAGAACGATTAACCTAGATTTAAGCCGAGAAATCTGAGGAACACTGATGAATAGCATAAGAAAATTTACTTAAACCATGTATTTCAATATCTTGAAAGACAAAGTTGTCCTCTAAGCATATCAATATAAACATAGGCTGGATTTGGAACCATTACATGGTTTGAATGTATGGTCTTTTGTCCGGAGTTTCTTACAAGTGGAGCCTAGGGGTCAGCACCAAAATGGCTTAGCTGTCATTTACCTCATTCAGAATGTCAACTTGTCACAGAGTCATCATCATCATCATCCCAGAATCCAGCCTACTGCTGCCGCCAAAATCACACACATACACGTACGAGCGACCCCTACCTACTATGATGTCCACGGATGTATAGAAATGCAGCTTGTATTGAGCTGCATATCTATAATGACAGTGAAAGGTTTGGCTCGCGGATGAGTAAAGCTGACATATGGTTGCCGAGAAATACCAACCTCATAGTGCGGCTTCTTTCATGAAGACATTCAGCAAGCACAAAGCAGGGTTTGTTCTGAGGCCGGACTCTACATGGAGCAAGGAGGGGTCGGTATTGAAGGATAACTAATTCTGATTGACAGGGAGCCAAAGATCAAAGCCAGGCTGGTGCAGGAAGCCCCGCGATCACAGTAGCGAGGGGTGAAATCATGTTAGCCACCACGCAGCAGAGTTTTATTACCTCTGGACCAGGACAATGGGGCACACTGCGTCTCCCCCGCGCAGCCAAATTATCTCATCCCCTCTGCTGCTGGGCCACTGGCCTTAACCGAACAGACAGAAGGGAAGCGGCCATGTTAACGGAATTCTCCCAAGGATTTGTGGGCACATCAAGGACATGCAGTCACTTTTTGGATCAGATGTATGTCTGTCTGTGCTGAAACTGATCTGTTTTATGTTGTTCTGTATTGAGGGGAGAGAAGAAAAACATACTGTTTTATCACAAGGAGAACAGGAGAAACCACTTGGCGAGACAGCAGCGTACTCTGTTTATGCTTTTGGCTTCTTTCTTTCTTTCTTTGTGTATTTTTAATCTTTACTTTTGTTTTTACTTTATTTTTTTTACTGTTTTTACATTTATTGTATTCTTATCATTGGTTTTTTTTATAGTATTTATTTTCATCTTATTTGTACATTTTCATAAACAAGTTATTATATTATCTACTAGTTAATTCTTTATAATTCTCATAGAGTTGCATGTATGTATGCATAGAAGTAGATCTATAAAACTCAGCATGTCATTTGTCAAAAAACCCTTTATATGACATTGCTTTGTACAGCATTTTGCATCAACTATTTATAGGACGATAAATTTAAATATCTGTAACCAAGAAACAGAATTTCACTGACCAACAAATGTCACTTTCCAACATTTTCAATCTGGGGTTCCACTTGCGTGCTGAAAGAAACTATAGGGAGAGCGAAACAATGAGAGTGGATACACACAGCCATTCAGACGTATGCCTAGTGTTGCGTTTGAAACTGTTCCATTGATTGCATGATGGACTAAAAGGCCCAGCATTTTGAGAATGAAGTGATTGATGAACAGCCGGATAGAGTAAAGCACTCCAGGGCTAATTGTGTTTCCCTCACATTGCCATATAGCCAATACAAACTGGGAAGGGCAAAGACAAACAGAAGGGGCAGCCAATAATTTACTTGCTCCCTTTCAGAATGGCTTGCAGTTTCTGACATTTACAGATGACTGTTTAATATATATTTGCACCAGTGCCACGCTCAATGTGCAGTCCCAATATAAAACTGGGAAAGCATGTCATTATCAGGAACAACCACATGCTCACTGTGCTCGCTAAAGGAAACATGTGAACAGGGGTAATCAAATTATATGGAGACGCTAGAGTGACTAAATCAGGGCAATTATGTATTATGAGCAGAGCATGTATGAGCTTTACAAGCAAATGATGGCCGTGGTTTAGGGGTTTAGTGGAACTCCCAGCCCAACGGGATTCTCAGTAATTGGAATGAGGGCCTTTTCTTACACTGAATGTGAAAATGAATATTTGTGTCACTGTGTGAGAGGATGTTTGAATCCATATCATCCACGTCTTTCAATAATAAGACCAATGGGTGTATTGTAATTCAGTCATAATGACGAAGTTCTGTCATTAAAAAAAACAAAAAAAACAAAACAAAAACTTTGGTCATTACCACAAAGTAAAAATACATTTTTGTGTCTTATGAACACACTGCATTAAAAGAAAGCCTCAGAAAACTGAACACTCCTTTTACAATTACCATGCAAACCACAGTGACCATTTCAAAGGCCCCTGCTCAGAGTCTGAACAATACCAAGTGCTCCTGAATCCCTTCTCTAAACAACATTCTTTTAATTATGAGTGGTTCACCACATAGCAAATGACTAAACATTTAAAAAACCAGATGGAACATACACACACTGCACTTCAAACTTCCACTTACACTGATGTGATTGTTTGTTAAGCAACCAGTGTTGTAAATCAAAAGGAAGTAATATTTTTCTAATTACGCAAAATGATTTAAGTAGTGATTTCTTCAGAACAACACTGTTTATAGACCTGGTGAGTACTTGAGTGAAGCAAAGCTTACACTTTCAACATAAATATGAAATAATTCAGATAAGTAGTAAATAATTCCATGTCTTCATTGCGTTTAAACCACTGACAGAAATGATTCTTCTACAGCAAACTCACCACTCGGTCTATGAATGGATGGGAGGCCAGCATCCAAACAGAAATAATAGAACAGTTTACAAGACCATGGGGCCTCTAGCTGTTTGGTAATAAACAACAAACATATTAAAAGCATGATTCCCACTGAGACGTCTTCTCAGCCAAGAACGTCAGCTATTTATTAACATCACTTCTTGGCAAGAGGCTTAATTAAGAAACCATTCACATTAATAAGAATAAAACAGCATGCCAAAACTTTCCTAGGTACTGATCAGCTACATTCAAGAATGGAAGCTCGTCCATGACCTGGAGTTCATTTGAATTCCTTCACCCTTGTACTCTTTTTTTTCCTTGTGTTTAAAGGAGGTGCAGTATTCTGAAGCTTAATGGCTCAGCCTACCCACAGTTCGACAATAAAAAGCTGTGAGGAAATACAGCAGAAGGAGTGCTAGTTCTCCCCACATGATTTATTCTCTGATTCACTCAGTAACAGTGTCCTAGTGGGCAAGGTCTCCAGAGTTTTACTGCAGATTTAAGACACATTCAAGTGTGAAGTGAAAGGGAATCTCCAGTGGGGTCCCCGAGGGCCAGAGGAGGTGTTTAATGGTGCACTGCCACTGAAATGGCCAGGCTTGTTACAGCCTCTCCACTGGAGCCCAGAGCTTTCACAGAACCGCATTGTTGGCATGGCGCTGCAGACGCGCCAAAGGAAAATAAATAATAAATAAATAAAAGCAGAGGTGACTGGGCCATTCTCCTGGTGGGGTGTCACGGACTGAATGCCATCAATGAAATTAGACAAAGAGAATCCAATATATTTTACAATAAAGCATCACATACACTGAAGCTAAAACTGGAAATACGCTACACAAAATGATTCGTGTATCTTCATTAGAGTCAATTCATTTCTTTTTGCTATACTACCTTAAATATAAGATGACAAATTAGTTTCTTTGGAGCAATGCCATAAAACCGGATGCTTCATTTCCAGTTCTGGAGGACTGAAGGGCCTGTGCACTTTGGTGATTTCTCTGCTCAAGCACACCCATTTAATCTGCTAGCAGATTAACTGAATTAGAATTCAATGTTTGAGTAGGAAAATCAGCTGTGCTGGTCACTGATTTGAGGAATCTTATCATAGAAGAGCTACTTTTCGTTCACTAAAGGGCCTCTCTTTGGAGTGTGAAGAATATTTTTAAAATTTTAAGAAAATCCACCAGAAATAAAGGTTGTATACCAATTTAAGCCCCTCCAACCCCCACCCAATAACCCCACATCCAAAACAAGAACGCAATTAGTAACCTTTATTTTCCAGTGAAGTGTACCGGAAAAAAGACTAAATTAGTCCTATTGGGATTGAAGGTAGAAGCCTCACTGTGTGAAGGGTCTGTAGAAATGAGATATTGTAGGTTTCTAACTCTGACTGGCTGAAACAGCATCTGAATCTGAGCAGTGTTCCTGTTCACTCTCAGCGTTGTAGACCCCTCTGAGCTCAGCGTCATTACTGAGCTTCAGGTTTCACATGTGGGCCAGAGTTTCTTCTGGAGGCCCATCAGCCTGTGGGGTGTGCTGCGGCCCCCTGAATCTCTCTCCACCTATTATTGGCTGACAGGCGCTGACGTCACCCTCTCCTCCAGCATATGGCCCGTCCCACACTGTGTGGCGCTCAGAAGAAACAAGTGCAAATTCAACAGGTTGACTGAGATGCGGAGGAATTCGCGTTTGGGAAGCACAGATACTTTTTTCAGCTTCTGAGCGTCACTGAAAGGAAGACAAAAGAGCTGAATCGGAAGCTGAATAAATGGAAAATACTTCTTGGACGAGGTTCACTGCGCATGGGCAAACTACTGACTGTTTTAAAGACCTTTAGTTGTTCCAGACGCTCGTGCTGTTTATCTGAAAACCCCGCTCCGTTCTTGGCCTCGTGGTGCTGTATTTATTTGGGCTGCTATGGCGCTGAAACGCGTCTTTCTGCTGCACCTGCTGGTTTCTTCGGTCCGATCTGCGTCAGACTCGGTGTTGAGAGCAGCGTTTGGTGCTGATGAGCGCACTGACAGCGCGACCACGGACATGGTGGCGCAACACATGTTCAAACTGTACGAGAGGTACAGCAGAGAACTGCACGGACCTAAAGAGGGAAACACTGTGAGAAGTTTTAAAGCAAGGCCTGGTGAGTAGCTTTCTTTCCAGTTCAGTTTCATTGGTGGTATGAAGATGCAGGTTTGGTGCCAAGGATGCGTTCTCGGTGGCACAGACCTACTCTTATGTGCTGTGGAGGAGTGAGCAGCACTTCAGTTAATATTTAGCTGGGATAGATAGATAGATAGATAGATAGATAGATAGATAGATAGATAGATAGATAGATCTTTATTGTCATTGTTCAAAAACAATGAAAACCGTTTAGCAGTTCTAGAATTGACAGCAAGGACATAACTTTTGGGTAAAGATAGGCTTGTGGTATAGCTCATGGGTAAAGACAGGCTTGCAATTGGCTTTGGTCTCACAAGCAACAGGACTCTAGAAAGATATACACTAGAATGCCATTGATCCAAAAACTGCAACTATAGGTAGTAAACATCACATGCACATCATTTATAAATGACAATTAAGAATGTAATTCGTCCCAACTTGTACCAAAAATGGTCATAATTTTTTACATGACCATTTTCTGACCTCTCTTTAACCCTCAGAATTAATCAGGCTGTTTCTGTTACCATGCCTTTAAGACTGGTATATGTAAATGAGCTCTTATGTGATTGGCTGCTATGTGTTGTGCTTCATTCAAAAAGCACTCAGAGCTGAAACACTCATAACCTCAGCATGAATAGGTGAATATATATAAATGAGCTGGTTCTTGAGACTGTTTTTGCAGCTTAATTTCCATGTGGATCGTGTGAACCGGGCAGTGACTTGTATGTTGTGAAACAGTGTTTACATATGACTTCAAACTCATTTATTTATTTAATTATTCAGACATTGTTTCTGTAAGTGCAGGCTGTTGAGATGATACATTACTAAGAAATAGATGATTTCAGATCATTTAATTTTAATTTTTTTTTTAAAATAATGTTTCTGTTTGCAAACATACTAGTTAGGAACATGATAATGAGATCATATTATTATGAGATTCTATAGAGGCTCATAAAGGAAACTTTAATAACCATGTCCATATGGTTCTAGTTGCTCCAGGAGTAACATATCACCTCACTACTTTGTGCTTCCTCAGAAACCAGCAATCTGAACAAGAAGCCTGTTGTTCAAATGCATTTTCATAATGCATATGTAACTCAGCAGTTGCTCTCCATTTCCCTACAGAAAACGTGGAGCAAAGAGTTTTGTACCAGTTGAATCTAACTTCCCTCCAAGAGTCTGAGGAGATTCTCATGACCACACTCCATTTCTTCTTTGATAAGCGCCCCCGCCAGAGGTCCTGGTTCTGCAAACGCATCAAGAACCCTTCCTGCCGTGTCCAGAATCTTCACCAGCTGCCTTCATTTCATCTTCTTTTCAGAGGTCCTTCCTCTGGTTCTTCTCTGGGGTCTTTGCTTGGGAACATCACCTTATACCCTCACAGAAGGGGAATATGGCAGACCAAGGATGTGTCTCACATCATACGGGAGGCTAGATCTAGGAATCAGCTTGTAATAACACTGGAGTTTGATTATGGAGAAAAGTATCAGAGATATCAGGACCAGCTCTCAGCATTCAGCCTGCCATACATACTGGTGTATGCCAATGACCTTGCCATATCAGAGCCCAACAGTGTGGCCATGAGCTTACAGAGGTATGACCCTTTCCCTGCAGATGAGCAGACTGCTCAGTCTCCAAATTCTTCACCTGATATGCGCGTCAAGCGGGACTTATATTTTCCTGACCCCATCCAGAACAATGAACTCCCTGAGGTGGAGTATGACAGTTTTAAGCAGCACGATATGTGGGAAAGCACTTATCAAGCACTGAAGCCAAAGCCCTCCAAGAAAGAACGGAGAAAGAAAGTTCGAGAGCACGCTGATGGAGTGAATAAGTCTCAGGTTCTCAGCTTTGATGAGAAAACCATGAAGAAAGCACGCAAGAGACAATGGAAAGAGCCTCGCAGCTGCTCCAGGAGGTACCTGAAGGTGGACTTTGCAGACATTGGCTGGAGCGAGTGGATCTTATCCCCAAAGTCCTTTGATGCCTACTACTGCGCTGGAACGTGTGAATTCCCCATACCTAAGGTCAGAAAGTCCCACGATGCTCTGGTCACAAGGACCTCACATATGTCAGAGTGAATAGTTCAGACATATTGAAGTATTTAAAAATGACTTTTGTAGCCAGGAACTCTGAACAAAGAATCCCTTCAGAGGCTATTCAGTTCCAGCATAACTGAAGCGCACACGCTTTATGTGCAATTACATTCACATAATTTTAACTTTAATGGGTGTTTTAGACGTTTTCTTGAAATAGAGCAGTTTTTGAGAAATGGGGGGCATATGACATTGTTTCCTGTAACTCACTGACAAATTAATTTAGGTAAGACTTTCAAAATGCTTAAACAGTATCAGACCTTTTTACATTCTGAATCTATTTGTCCTTGTAGGTTGTTCGGCCTTCCAACCACGCAACTATCCAGAGTATAGTGAAGACTGTTGGTATCATTCCAGGCATCCCAGAGCCCTGCTGTGTACCTGAGAAAATGAACGCCCTCAGCGTGCTGTTCCTGGACGAGTCCAAAAACATTGTTTTAAAGATCTACCCCAACATGTCTGTGGAGACGTGTGCTTGTCGATAGGCCGGACGGTCAGTGTAGCAGTTCTTACATTGACAGGTGTTGGGGTTACAACACCGAAACTAAACGTGAAGAGGCATATTGTCTGTAGCTCACACTTATTGAACAATGCACACTGCAAGGTTACGTTGTTTAAGGGTCGTGCACCCTTCCAGTTTCCTAAATCAAAAGTTTCTTTTTGTCTGTAATGTGTGTTTCATTTTGGTGAACTTTTTCCACAAGAGAACAACGTGTGTAAAATTAGTTGAAGACATGGTTTAGATGTTCACCAGTTATTGCATTGCTGCTTCCTTTGTATATAAAACAGTGAGCCATTATTTTAAGGTGGTTCTTGATCATACAGATTGTTCTTGAGCTATATTCTAACATAGAATATATTCTAGTACAACAGTGAAAGGTTTGTTTAGCACCATGTAGGAATTTCGTGGAGGAAGAAGAGTTTATGTAAATAGTTTGGAATGTAAATCTGTGTCCATATAAATCACACTCAATGCTATAAGTTTAAGTAACCAAAGTACTTGGTTTGAGTTACTTTAAATAGTATCATATTTAAATCACCTTCAAGCTCCTAAACCAGCTGAGCTTTCATGTCCAGCATGTATCAGATAGCACTGGCAGAGCTCTAAACATTATCTGCCGATTCAGCCTCAGAAATAATAAAGAGGCTTTGAAACCAGTCTTTGGTTTCATTGAACTAACAATATTCGACTCATATTCAAAAGTTATATTTGGAATATTTCCAAGTGGCTGTGTGTCATAAGTAGACTACTCACCAAGGTCACTGATGCGCTAAATCCTCTGAGAGTTTGTCTTACTTTTAGAGATGTAATACAAGAAATTCAAGTCTCCATGGTGGATTATGAGGAGAATGTTTGCTATTTTATCTCCCTATTCATTTCTATATAATAGTATTTAATAAGTGAGTTATGTATGAAATATTTTGAGTGTGTCTGTATGTAAAACATATGATGACCTTTGATTCACTATGATATATTTTAGAGGATGTATTTTTGTACGTGTGTGTGTTAAATTATGAAATGAGATTAGCCATATGTATAGTAAAAATGTAGAATAAAAATACAAGCTGTGTTACTAAAAGCCTTATTTTTTACTAGCATGCTGTCCTGGTGTGCACCTAACACAAAAGCGTTCATTAAAAAGCCTTTCTTATAAAGATCACTGAACAGCACATGCAGAGGCGCATCTACTGCTCCCTGAAAGAAAGCAGCATTCTCCACTTGAACATCAAAGGTAAGTCCTCACTTCCTTCAGTCCCCACTTCAAGGACCAGACTCCGAGAGCAGGATGTTGACATTCTCCCCCAACAAATGATGTCACTCATTTTAAGCACTCTTTGACTCAAGACACAGCAAACCAGAATGACTGGAGATCCATTTGAATGTTGGGCAGTTCCTCTGTGCTAGGAGAAGTGATAGCACAACACTTGAACATGACAGCTCAGGAAGAGCAGTGAGCTTTTTCATTACTCTGTGGAACTTACAGGTCTTTTACTGAGCTGTAGTTGCATGCTGATTTCATAATTCAATACCCGAATGCTTATTAGTAAGGTCACCACATACTAATTAGTTCGTTATTGTTTAATCTACACTTTTAAAAATAAAGGTACCAGAAGAGGTTCTGTGAAGCAATGCTTTGGAAGAAGAATGTCTGGAATCTGTCAATGAATAAAACCATTTCTGTAAATAAGATATGAGAATGTGAACATTCATATGTAAAGTTTAAAGGACCTCCACATAATGTAAAGGTTCAGCACTAATTACAGGTTTGTCCCAAATATATTGCTGATGTCGGAACAAAACCTCATATCTCCATTTTTGACGTTTTTCAGGTTTTGACATAATTTGATAGCACCTGTTGCCCTTTACATTATATGTAAATTTTGTGATGAATGAACCAAATGAAATGACCCAAAATGACTTGGAAAAAAGTCTGTTTCCATTGACTTACATTAAAAATACAGAGGGTTTTTTTCCTTCTCCTGTAAAGTTACCATTTTGGAGATATGAGGTTTTGTTTTGATAACAGCGATACATATGTATATATATATATATATATATAATATATATATATATATATATATATATATATATACACACACACACACACGATCAGGCATAACATTATGACCACCTGCTTGTTTCTATGCTCATTGTCCATTTTATCAGCTCCACTTACTATACAGGTGCACTTTGTAGTTCTACAATTACAGACTGTAGTCCATCTATTTCTCTGCATACTTTGTTAGCCCCCTTTTACCCTGTTCTTCGGTTGGCAGGACCCCCATGGACCCTCACAGAGCAGTACTCACAGGTACTATTTGGATGGTGGATCATTCTCAGCACTGCGGTGACACTGATATGGTGGTGGTGTGCTAGTGTGTGTTGTGCTGGTCTGAGTGGATCAGACACAGCAGTGCTGCTGGAGTTTTTAAACACCTCAGTGTCACTGCTGGACTGAGAATAGTCCACCAACCAAAAATATCCAGCCAACAGCGTCCTGTGACCACTAATGAAGGACTAGAGGATGGCCAACACAAACTGTGCAGCAGCAGAGGAGCCATTGTCTCTGACTTTACATCTACAAGGTGGACTGACCAAGGTAGGAGTGTCTAATAGAGTGGACAGTGAGTGGACACAGGGTTTAAAAACTCCAGCAGCACTGCTGTGTCTGATCCACTCAGACCAGTGCAACACACCCTCACACACCACCACCACGTCAGTGTTACTGCAGTGCTGAGAATGATCCACCATCCAAATAGTACCTGCTCTGTGAGGGTCCATGGGGGTCCTGACCACTGAAGAACAGGGTAAAAGGTGGCTAACAATGTATGCAGAGCAACAGATGGACTACAGTCTGTAATTGTACTACAAAGTGCACCTATATAGTAAGTGGAGCTGATAAAATGGACAATGAGCGTAGAAACAACCTTTAAGGAACCTTCAGCTTTAAGAACAAATTTAATGAGTTATAAATGGACAAAAAGCATTGCCTCTACTTATAATCATAAAGAAACCAGTATGTGAAGACATTTTTGCTTTATATATTCTATTTCTTCTCTCTTTGAGTGTTTATTTATTATTTTTTTTGCATTTGCATTTGACTCCAACTGCCAGAAACTGCCGCCCATTGAAACCACTTTAAACCAGTAGCAAAAGTAGATGTGCTCTCTAAGAGGGAATCCCCAGTCCACATTTCTCCAGGGAAGTACTTTAATGACATTCAGATTAACTTCTGGACACCAGAGGATTCATCAGTATGTAAATACTATGCAGTTACTGAAAACTAATATTTAGCTTTCCAAATGAGGCCAAATCAATTAATGCCCAAGAAAGAATCCCTTGTGAGTGGACAGAGGATTTTCTGTATACAACTGAAATAGCTCTTTCCTCAACTGGTCACTAATCATGGCAATATTATGCTGGTATTTTAAGCGACTGTTTAATTTTCTCACAAAATGACGACGTAGCCTTCAAAACTCTGCACAGAGGATGAAAGCTTGACTTCTCCATGAACTCTCTCTGAGTGCTCTCTTACTACCCAGGACTCGCCTCATTTACCAGTCACAGAGCTCGTTTGTGGCTTTAGTGAGGGGAAGCCTGAGGATATTTTCAGAGAAACTTATAGATACAATAGCACATTACACAGCAGATGTTCTAGCCGTAACGTGCCACATATAAGCTCCAATTTGTTCATTTATGAGTTCATGGGAAGAATCCTGCTCTGTCTGCAGACACTCTATGTCAAGATTTAGTTAAGAGCGCACTCTACTGGACTAGAAGTGAATACACTGTAAAAAATGAAAAATCAACTCAACTTAAAAACAGCTTTTACACAGCTTTTCTTGAGTTAACTCAACTTATGAACTCTAGAGTTCACCCAAAACTCAATTTGGTCAAAAGTTCTAAATCAAATTTTTAGTTCAGCATCTCAATGAGGTTAAAAAATTAAGAATTTTTATTTATTTTTTTTTGTTTTTTTCTAGCTATCTCCTGTTATTGGGGTGGATGCTTTGGTCATTGTGGCACCACTCAGGAGGCCCTAAATTTAGTCTTATTCCATTGTCCATAAATGTTTAATACAACAAAAGTTATTTTAACTTTAAAAAATAACGTATATAAGTTTATTGAACATCAGATAGGAAGTTTACATAATAATGCTAGACACAGATTGTTGTTCTGTAAACTCACTATATGATGTTCAAACTAACTTAAAATTTTAGGTCAGCCACAAATAACATAAAATGTATTTTTTTTAATTGCAAAACAAAGTTGTGGATAAAATTTTAACCTGATGTTTAATATTTAATATAATTATTTGTTTAGGTATTCCAGTGATGCCACAGCCATCCATAACTGGAAGCCCAAGAGGAGAAAATGCTTGGCAGAATTGTGAGAAATTGTTTGCCTAACTTAGATGCACAAGTTAGGACTAAACTTAGAAGTTTGAGTTGGACGAACTCCAGTAACTCTAGTACAAATTAACTAAAAAAAGCTGTGTAAAGCTGGCTTTGCATTTTTTACAGCGTGGTGTGTTGTGTGTGTTTCATGGCCAGTAAATGTTTACATTCATAAATGAACCAAATTTTCTTAGATTTAAAGAAATTATTTACTACTTTTTCGCCTTTTATTTACACAGGCACACACAAGAGGTATGGATTTATTAACTTGATTTATAAAATTGATTTGTTACAATTGAACAAGAGATCAGTTTCTTAAACTGAATATGCACCTTGACGTGCATTTCATCAGACTGCAACATGCCTTTTTCACACTGTGCTCACCTTTCACTTCTGCTGAATTTATGAGTGAAAGAGCAAACCAGTAGACAGTGTAAGAGGCTTGTGAAAAGTCATCAATAGGGCCTGTGAAAGTCATCAAGGAGCAGCACTAGCTGAATAAGAACACCAGCAGAATTGTGTTAGTGGGCATTTAGGATTTACTGAGAGTTCTATATGGAACCAAGAAGGGTTCTTCTATTGTTATGATGTCAGGCTTGTTACAACAGAAGAATGCTTTTTGGTGCTATATAGAAGCCTTTTCAAAAGGGTTCTATGTAGAACCATCTACAGCATATTCTCCATCAATATGCTCAAAGAACCCTTTAAAACCATGCAAATGGTTGTTTGAATGTTCATGGTTCTATATAGATCCATTTTCTTTGCTAAAAAACCATTGAAGAAGCATCATTTTTGAATGTGTACAGCAGTGGAGTTCTTTACTGCTGTGGGAAGATTCCCAATAGTTCTATAATGTGTTTGTGCAGTGCATGCAGAACACTGATGGACAAAAAGGATACAAAAACGTGAATTATGACAATTATGCCAGAATCCCCCTTTGAATATTTAAGTGCTAACACTATACAGTGACAATAATAAATGTCAAACACACAGAAATCTCAGAGTGAAAGACTTTTTAATCATACAATGTGCCACAGCAGACACAATGGCTACATATCACTATTAAAAACCCCTTTGCAAATAAATACATGTTCTCTGTCTTTAACACTGTGACGATGAAACGATCACAGGACAAGTCCTAAATATTTTAAAGAAATTTACTTTAGTACTCTCAACGTAGTGAAACAACTAATCTTGTTAGAGACGGACGCTCATTGAGGCAGCAAATGCTGAAGGATTTTTGCCTTTAATAAATGCTATAACTAAATGGTTTTGTCTGGCTGTTAGTGAAGTTAATGAAATGTTTAGGACACAATATCATATGTCTCCCATCTCTAATATTTACATGTACTGTTCCTGAGATTTATAAGGCACGATTTAACTGGACATTGGCTATGGCCACACGGTGGATTCTGGAGATTCCTCTATGGATCGCTGTGGCCATCTTGTGGAGACACTTTGCATTGAGAGGAAGCTCACTGTCGGAGCCAAACTGCAGAAGTCTAGTCTGATGAAGCAATTAGGCTACAACTCTCAGCTCATACGGAACTGTTACATCTGTGAAAACAACACTCCAGCAAATGGTCAAAATAGCCTGCCATGTTCACTAAGCAACAGCCCTATAGTCTTGATTAAAAAAAAAACGCATGAGCATAAAGATGCCTTATTTTTGTCTCATAACATGCCATGTCTATACACCTCCACTTCATTTAATTCATATCTTTATACAGTCATCTTTTCACATCAAGAATGCCAAAGTAGGCTATATGAAGGTTTTATTGTAGGGTACCATGTAGAACAGTGGTGCCCAACCCTCTTCCTGGAGATCTGCTTTCTTGCAGAGTTTGGTTCCAACCTTCATCTAACACCAATGCATCTTATTCAGCCAATCAAGGATACTGAAGAACGTTAACCGAGAAAGTCTGGCAGATTGTGGCTGGAACCAAGCTCTGCAGGAGGGTAGATCTCCAGTGCCAGAGCTGGTGACCTCTGGTCTAGCCCGTTGTGTCCCAACACCAGTCCTGGAGCCTCCCTGCTCTGCACATTTTAGTGTTTTCTCTGCTCCCAACACACCTGATCCACCAAATCAGCTCATTATTAACTCCTGAAGTGGGAGCTGAAGTGGGTTTATTAGAGCAGGAAGAACAGTAAGATGAACAGGACAGGGAGGTCTCAAGGACCATGGTTGGGCAACACTTGTCTAGACCACTCAAGTGGCCTTGCAGGGCCTGGTCATATTCATCAATGACTTGTAAGACTCAAGCAAGTAGTCATGCCTCTGCACTATGCCATCACTGCTCAGAGGACATGAGCTGTAGACTACCTTGCAGTAAAGCCCCCCAGAAAAGTGCTTATTGTTTCTCTATAGGCCTACTTAGCCTTGGTTCTCTAATTAAGTGAGCTAGATCAGCTTCGCCTTGGTTCTCTACTTAGGTGACCTAAGTCAATCACGCATGTCTGCAGTTTTAGCTTCTGCTACTCCCCTATGGCCTACACCAGGAGTGACCAGTCCTACTCCTGAAGATCTACCACCTTGCAGAGTTTAGCTCCACCCCTAATCTAACACACCTGACCCAGGTAATGAAGGTATTCAGGAGCATCCGGACGTTAGAGCCAGGTATGATGCATCTGCACTGTCCAGGGTGGTCGATATGCAGGACCAGGATTGGTGGTGCAATACAACACGCATTAAAGGTAGCAATGCATTCCAATACACGACAGTCCTGTTAGTCCTTCAGTTGTGAGAAGTCATGTGTCGTGAGAGGTGATGGCGCTCGCGGAAAGTACTCGTGGCAGATGGGGCACGTGAGTTTCTCCTCCCTCCTCCTGCGCGCCTGAGACTCGGCAGCGAACTCCTTCTTGTGGTGGCTCCTCATGTGCAGCACCAAGTCGGAGGTCATGCGGAAGGAGAGGTTGCACTTGGCGCACCAGTTCTGCACGGAGACGCCCTGCAGCGAGCCGAAGGTGGCGGGCAGAAGAGTGAGGGAGGAGGCGGCGCGCAGCTGACCGCTCACACCTCCGCTCCACTGCTCCGGCGCGTAGAGGAGCGGAGCGGCGGCCACGGTCTGGACGCCGGCCGGGTCAGCCTGAAACAAGTGAGAGGCCAGAAGGTTTCTGTAGCCCACGGCGCTCTTAGAGCTGAACGATTCTGAGACGTCGTCCAGCAGCTCGTGCGGGCTGCACAGAGGAGGCCCCGGATGCTGCAGGCCTTCAGTAGCGGCGCGCTTATGGGGTTTGCAGAAGGCGCTCTTCTGTTGCGCATGCGCACTGCCGGGCAGTACGAAGGAGAAGGCGCTCGATTCGGACTGAAGGGCCGCGTCTGCCACCACCTCCGCGCGGTAACTCGACACAGACGGGTTTTCCCTCCTTACATCCACACACAGCTCCGCTGCTTTCTTAATCTCCGCGAACGCGCTGTTTTTGCCGCTCTTTAGCTCGGGAGCTGGCTCGCTGAGGCCGGCCAGTTTCTCGCCGGGCTCCGCTGAGCCGTGGCCATGCCTGTGGTCGCTGCTGTGGTCGAGGTTGGTTTTCTCCAATAAAACGGGCTTTCTGCTCCGCGGGCTCGGGGCTTCGTCGTGTTTTCGTTTTCGCGACGTGAGCGCGTCCTCGGCTTTCTTCTGCTCCCCATGCTCCAGATCTCGGGCGATGTTGTGGAAGTCGGTGGTGACCCGGCGCTGTCGCTTCTGCTCCGCGTCCGCGCGCATCACCGCCGGTTTGACTTGAGCACACAGAAAGCGACAGTGAGCGAGGAACGGGTTTTCATTCCTGAAGGCCTGACCACACCTTCCGCACGACAAGCCTGCAGAGAAAGAAGATGTGTCAGTCTGCTGCTGTTATGAATGTCTTACAGAAGAAGTACTTAAGAGTAATTTTAGTGGAATAAATAAAGGTTAGGCTAAAGATAATAATAGACTGAGAATAAATATAAAGACGTGCTAGTGCGTCTTTACGCATGACTGGCCTTCTTACTGAGGCAGTGATTGTCTTTAATAAATGAATGGTTGTTAAATCAATGAAATATTCAGGACACAATATCAAATATCTCTAATATTTGCATTTACTGTTCCTGAGATTGATAAAGAACAATATAACTACACTGATTACAGCCAAATGGGTATGGACATTGGAGAGATAAAACATGCAATAAATAAATAAATAAATAAATAAATAGGTAGGCCTGTTGTGTTTAGACCATTCTATGAGTGACTATGAGTAAGAGTTCTTTGCGTGATGCCACATAGAAGAACCATGTTTGGGTCCTTAAAGAACGTTTCAATGGATGGTTCTTACGAGCACCATTTTTGTAAATGAGATGAGAGTTTAAAGAACATCCACATAGCGTAAACTGATAAAGAAAGTACATAATGTGAACGTTCTTTATACTTTTAAAGGGTTCTGCACTCTCACCATTTCATTTTTAAACATAGTTATTCAGAGCACTAAAACGGTTCTTCTATGGCAGACCTGAAGCTCCAAGCAAAGATGTGGACCGTCTGTGGGTCCCTGAGGACCGGTTTTACATCCTCTGTTCTGAGGTATGACTCAAAGAACCACCTTCTTCTTGAAGCGTTGAATCTAGTAGAAAAGGTTTCAGCTAGCAGTGGACGAATGTAGCGTTGATAAGCTCCTCACCATCAGCTACAGCTCGTGGTTTAATGTCGCTCAGGCCCAGGAGATGAGAGAGCTCCTCATCATACCACACGAACAGCTCCTCTCCTCTCCTCACGGGGCGAGTAGTCCGAAAATACAGCTGTCCTGCCTTCAGAAAAGCCTCGGTGTTCTGCTCGGCCGTGTTCATGGCGGCTTGCACTAGTCTCAGCCAGGGCACCACTAACGGAGAGCTCTTCATAGCCTCAGGATCTACCTGTTGATGAAGGACGTGCCCATCAGATAAATGCATACAGGCCCATTACACACATGAAATAGTGAATTTGCACATACTATACACATTAATGAGTAGAACCACAGTATACTGCAAAATTGACATTATATCTAATGTCCCCGTTTTGGGGCTTATATAAATCTAAATGTTGATATTTGTGATTATTTCCCACGAGTTGAATGCCACTGAATTACACACTTGTGAAAAACTCACCCTAAACACGTAGGATTTCTCTCTCTTGTCAAACGACTTCAGGGCGATGAAAGCTATAGTGTCATAGAATGTATTATGGAGAAGACAAGGTCCGAAAGACGCTCCAGCCGGGATGTCCTGGGTGACTTGGACACTGGTGAACAAATCCGTGGCATGATGATGAAGAAATTTGCTGTCGTTAGTCCACAGCGAGCGCGCCGTAAAGGTGGGCTCCATGGCCAAGTCCTGAAAAGTGAACGTCAGTGATTAAGCTAAATAGTCCAGCACGGTGAAGGTTAATAATAGTAATCACAGGCCTGCACTACAGACAGCATAACACATATGTAGACCTGTCATTGTTGGTCTACATTCGCGTTATTTTACTATACATCCTTCTAATGTGTTATTATAAAGGGATGTATTTAAAACCTTGGAAATAAATAATGCGGTCCATAGGATATGAAATCACAATTAGTATCAAATACGCTCTGATAGCTAGTTCAGTTCTCAAGCTTCTGAAAACGACTGGCTCCCTTAACTGCATCTTAAAGCATAAACACTAACTGGGAAGCTGAACTTCATGTTTCCAATATCTACCAAAGTACATCTACTCAGGTCTACATGCTAAATTGGCATTTACAATGAAGCAAATCATCTAAAGTGCCACTTACAGATAGTCGATGTTCTAAGCAGGCGATGAGTGTGTGAGTGTGTGTGTGATCGCTGGTGTCCAGTCCGTCTCCGCGCGGGGACTGAGCGCAGCCGCGTGTGTGTGCTGTGTGTGTGCGCGCGCGCTCTGTGTGCTGTGTGCTGCTGCTCGCAGCCTCTGCTGCTCTTCTCCCCCTCTGTCTCTCTGCAGCTTTTCAGGCGGGCTAATTAGAAAAGGGGGGCGGTCAGGGCTGACCAGTGAAATCGCAAATAAGCAGCTCCCCCCAAAACAATGTAACGTTTCAGCTCAAAGAAGAACACCAGACTGCTGTTCTCAAATTCTCCTTAATATGACTTCTTACAGAGCAAATCCGACCTGGAGGAAAACCGTAAACAGTCCATTTAAAACTATATTAATATTAGCTTTTAAGTATGTAATAATAATAATAACAATAACAATAATAATAATAATAATAATAACAATAATAATAATAATAATAATAATAATAATAATATTATTATTGTTATTATTATTATTATTGTTGTTATTGTTATTATTATTATTATTATTATTATTGTTATTATAATTATTATTATTATTATACGAACAGTCTAGTCTAGTGCATTAACCTAATGGCAACATTGTCAGATTATAAACCCAATTTTACTCTAAACAAAGAAAAGAAAGCAAAAGTCCTTTGCACTTCCTATACTAAACACTATTTCGGTGAGTTTAATTTCATTAGGCCAAGAAATAGAGACTTAAATTCCTTATTGAGCGGGCGCGCGCGCCTGTTTGTATGTATAGGGGTTGCTCTAAGAGATTGTTATAAGAGTCGAAATCAATACAATGTGTCCTGTTCGTTTAAAATAGGCTTAAAATGATGAAGATATGCGATCAAAACGCGCAGCCCACCGCGGTGTGGTCTGGTATATCGTGATACAGTTCACTTTGATTCACACTTTTTACACTGTTTCATTTTCTTTTTGGTGTTGTTGCTAAAATTGACTCTGTAATAGCTGCCCGTGCGAAATATCTTAGGAATACAGTCAAGTTCTCCCGGAAAAGGGAGGTCTCCACATTATCATGCCTCAGCACCGTCCGGTGTCCAGTGGCTATCGCCTTGATTTCCCCACCTATATTCCGTCAAGCCTTTCCGTCTGCTCTGGGAATCGCTACTGCTTCATACTCACACACACAGTCTGACAAATAGGACATTACTAGCCACATCTTAGCGCAGGAGACCGTGTACTATTAGCCAATCACAGTGCAGGAGGCGGGGCCTGTCCGAATACGGGTATGTTTTGAAGAGGAGGGGGTGCAACGATGTTTTGGAAACTGGGCTGACTCGAGCGTTCAAAACCGTGACAAAACGAATCACGGTCACGTTTGTGGAATACATTTGCCGGCAGAGATATTTCTTCTCTGAGGGAATATGTGAAATCTTACTTTTGTCGTGTGCCTTTTCCTTTCTGGAGTGAAAAGAAGCGTGTGGGAAAGATGGCGCGCGCTCCGGCTAACTTTGGTCTAGCTGTGGCTGTGCTGGTCGCGCTGGTGCTCAGACTTCCAAACGCCAAAGCCGAGCCTAATGTTAAACAGGAGGAGAGGTCTTGTCAAGGTGCCTTCGACTTGTATTTTGTCCTCGACAAGTAAGTGGACCTCCTTTTTAGAGCATCTCAAATGTTCCTCATTGCCGTGTGACCGCTGGGTCACCCTCAGTTAGACGAAATAAAACATTTAAATCCACCGCTGTCAGAGCTTTTGCTGTCACTGAAATCACGAAAAAGTCAGCCTCAGCTTTCCCCGCCTGTCGGTTTTTCACAGAAACAATGCTGCTGTCACTAAGAGAGCAGTTGCAGTTGAGTTAGGCTGAATGACTTGAGGTATTTCAGTCATCCAGCGTTGAAGAAAACAGTCCTGATGTGTAGAGAATGTATTATCCAGCTGGAGATATTCCCTGAGGGCAGCCGGCAGGATGTGCAGAGTAAAGCCTAATGTTAGGTATTCTCTGTACATTTCGAGGTCTAACAGGACAGGAGCTCCAAAAGTAGTTCTACTGTTTGTGGCTGGACAGTGATGCAAGGAAATCAAATTGTTTTGCTCCCGGCATTTTCTTTCCTGGACCAAGATCTGAGCAGTTTGAAACAGGACAGAGGGGTTGAAATAGTCTGTGCTGCCTTTGTGCTCAAGGCAGTGGCTTTGCATACAGCATAACTTAGTCGATTTTGTTGTTGGGGGTTATCTGTGGTTTTCACTGACATTGGGATGATTTGAAAAAAGCGTGAGACTTCATATCAGTGTATTTCTATAAGCTAAACAAACGTGTAGTGATCATCATGTCTAGCTGTCATATCATGGGGGAGGGGATGGACAAGCCTCAGAATTAAATATGATAAATTAAAATCATTTTATATTAAAAAATATCATGTTGTTTTAGTGAAATATTGCAAATGAATGCACTATAACTAGAATCTTATATTTGTGGAATTAAGACCAGTCCAGTCAAATCACTTTTCTTATTTCTTTCATAGTTAGAGATCTGAAATTTACTTTAAATGTACTGTACATGTCATTTCTGACATGGAATGTATGGCAAGACTAAATGTCATTAGAAGTACTTTGATATTGTGTTACCATGTAGAGATGACATATCAGTATCCATGGGTATCAGTATTGGGCTAATATCAGTAGAAAATGCTAGATCAGATATTAGAGGGGAAAAAAACCACAGAATGAATCCAATCCTGTAACAAATCTGCCCTGAAATGGGGGTGGGTGATTTGGCAAAAATATTTTATCGCAATGCTTCAGTACACATTATGCATCATAATATTTAGCTTTTCTTATAGTGCCGTATATAAAAGTTCTACAATAAGAAGAAACCTACAAATACAATGGTTTTTATTCAATGTTTTACAAACTGCATTGCATTAAATCCAATTAGACAGGCCTAATTATGCTCACTTTGCAATAGTTAGCGTTCTTTATGTACTGACAATACCTACGTTAGGCTCAGAAAAGCAGATTGTAAGATATCTTCTAAAGGTAATGATAAAATGCTATCATATTGCCCCCTACCCTGAAACAGTACATGCTCACACTGTATGGCATAATGTTAGCTGTGTATTTGTTCCTGTGTTGAGGTGGAGTGTTTGAGTAGTCAGATTGAATTAAAAATAGCTTATTTTAAAAATGATTTGTTTTTAAAGGTGAAATATCAGTACTCTGATACTGAAGGTTTCAGTATTATTATCAGTGTCGCAAAAGAAAAAGAAGTATTGTCATCTCTAATGCTGTACCGTTGATATTGTGTCCCTCGGTTAGACCCCCTGCAGGTTTCTCAGCTGCTCTTCTTGATCGCATCAGGTTTTAAGCACTTGGGAACTGCGAATAGCCAAACATGCTTTAACTTGCCCTGCACTCAGCGTGCCCTCCACAACAGCATTGAACTTGAATTTCTGTTTTTGCTGATTTCAGCAGTTTAAAGTTTCAGCACATTTATGTTTTTTTAGAAACAGTTATATGTTGAAAATGGAAAAAAAAAAAACAGCAAAATCCATTTTTTCAAATTCATTCCAAATTATATATATTTTAAAATAGGATTTTAAATCAAATGTCCACTCATCTAACTTGATATATGTTATGTTGTGAACTAAATTCACAGATAAAACTCTTTTGTGGTTCTTCAGGGTGTGAACCTTTATGTTCTGTTATGAAAGAGTCATTAATGAGCAGTTGTATCTAAACCATGGCCAACATAAAATAAAGGGGCAACACATAGCAATCAACTACAAACTGCTGTTTGTAATAGAAGCTAAATTTCCTGAAAGAATTGTTTTTCACTGTCATCATCAATAAACTGTGCATTAAAGACTAAAGATATACACTGACATGTAGGCTATTGACTCAGTTCATGTTTGAAAATTAATTATTGAAAATATCCTAATAAACACAAAAACTAAACTAATGAAAGTGATTCAAAACAAATTCTATCCATGTACTGACAAAAAAAACAGGTGTTTTTTAAGCACTTTGGGACACAAAAATGAATAATAGAAAAATGACTCATTTTAAATTTGGGTATTTTTTATACCTGTACTCCATATACTGCCATATACTGAAAATTATGTATGAACAATGTATTTATCAGTACAGTTATGTTCATATCGGTTGCCCACAGCTTCACTTTATTCTTTATTTGGAGAAAAAATGCTAGCTGCTTCAGGCTTCACTCCCAGAAACTGTGGCTGCTCAAGGCAGTTATTAATCCTAACAAAGGAAAGTGATGCTGAAGTCCAAGATTAACCATAGCTCTGAAAATAATGACTACCAGCATGAAATGTGAGCATAAACTGCAACCAAACTGCCTGAATGGAACCCAGCGTATAGCTTCACTTAGTCCTGTTATTATGTTATCAGATCGTATATTTCAAAAGACCTGATATCTTGTGATGTCGAGGAAAATATAGTGACATAAATGCATGTATGTCATGACAAAACAGTGGGACTGTATGTGTAGAAACATGGTGTAATGCAGTTACTGTTTTATCATATTAGCATGAATGCTTGCAATTATATTACAGTAACATTTTGATTATGGTGTTAATTTGAGTTTTAAAGTCTTTAAAAATGATAAAATCTTAAACACTGTACTTGTTCCAGAATGTGCAGCGTGTTTAGTTTGAAGCCCTAGACTTTTCAGATGTCGATGTAGATGCCAGCTCTAGTTTGGATCCCAACCTGTTACACTTGGCCCTTGCCATCTGTTCTAATTCAAATGACTGGCTCCAGCAGGAGGGGGTCTTGCTCCCTGTTAGCAGGAGACAGAATCATCTGGCACAAAGGCAATTAGCCCTTGTTGGGAGTGCTTTGGGGCCTGTAATTAATTTGTGAGCTGTGCTCCTTTTACAGGGTGGTCCAGGAGTTTCCTCACTCAGATCATGTAAGAAACAAATAATAAGCATGAAAGGGAAATATAAGTAAGATTAAGCATTTGTTGTTTTGTTGCTTTATTTCACTGCAGATCTGGAAGTGTCAAACATCACTGGATTGAGATCTACTCATTTGTGGAACATCTAGCAGAGAAATTTATAAGGTATTTTTTTTTACTTTGTTTTGTGTTGTATTTTCATGCTGAGCTTTTATTCAGTGATATCCTACTGCAGGGGTGCCCAGTCCTGATCCTGGAGATTTACTATCCTGCAGAGTTTAGTTTTAACCCTAATCTTTACACCTGATCCAGGTAATAAAGGCTGGAAGCATCTGAATATTAGAGCCAGATTTGTTGGATGTGAACCCTCCAGGGTGGTAGATCTCCCCGACCAGGATTGGGCATCCCATCCTACTGCAAAATCCTGAATTATAATGTTTTACAATTATTAATATTGCAGCCCAATGCTAAGGATGTCATTCATTGTCTTCTCTACACGTGGAAATACCATCATGAGACTAACTGAGAATAGGTATGATACACGTACATTTCAGTTGGCCTGTATACAACTAGAAGTGTTTGTCTGGATAAACCGAGTAACTCAAAAAAACAGGTCCACCTTACAGTTTTAACAGACAAAATAAAAACAAATTGATTTCTTTTCCTAATGCACAGAGATGACATTAACAAAGGCCTGAGTATGCTGAAAAGAGAGGTACCAGGAGGTGACACATTTTTGAATCTTGGATTACAGAAGGTATCTTGCTTGTTTATGCATTCAGTCCTTGATTTGTACTTGACTGTAGCAAATTGTACTCTGTTAAATGGAAGTAATATTTGATACTTGCTTTACAATTACAGGCAAATGAGCAAATATATCATGGAAAATACAGTAAGTGCCGCATTAAGTTAAAGTATGTGCAGTGTATACTGTGTATTTGCACAGATATTTAAGAAAAACTAACCCGTATTGCCTCATTTTTGCTTCGCAGAGACAGCCAGTGTTATCATTGCTTTGACAGATGGAGAGTTAAACACAAATCAGTTCATCACAGCCCAGCAAGAGGCAAGTAAACAAGTTAGTGGTGTCATTCTGTATGTAGCTTTTTCTCTGTGTTTCCCTAATTCAGTCTAGCAATTGCACATTGTGAGGGTTGCATGTGTGCTGGTTATTTGTGTGCAGGCACAGAGGGCCAGGTCTTTGGGAGCCATAGTGTACTGTGTGGGGGTGAAAGACTTCAATCAGACACAGGTACAAAATACAATATGTAAATTTGGTCAGCCAGGGCCATTTAATTATACTGATGAATTTATCATATCCAAACTTTTAGTAGTCGTTTGAGGCCTGAGTTGACCTTATAAGAATATTTTGTGCTGTTTTTTAGCTGGCCACCATTGCAGACACTATTGAGCATGTGTTCCCTGTCGTGGGAGGTTTCCAGGCCCTGAGGGGAATGATCGATTCTGTAAGTTTATCTGTTGTGTTTGTCTTAGATCTTTATAGCCCAATAGAGTGCTATATTTAATATATATTATATACCTTCTTTCTTTAGATCATCAAAAAGTCATGCATTGAGATTTTAGCAGCTGAGCCTTCAAGCGTGTGCGCTGGAGGTAAGAACTTCACTGTGGATCTACTGAACATTATATTATTGTATATTTTTGGATATACCCCCCCAAAAAAGCAGAATACAAGTGCAGACGTATGCAAAAGAATACCCCTGGTCAAGTTACATGTGAAGTGAAAATAAGTTATCCTCTGTAGGGAACAGACTTAAATATGGCATTTTTCTACAAATGCTAATGCACCATTTCTATTTATTTAACTTATTGAAAAAACATAAAATATAATAATAATAATAAGCATGCCATGACCTTTACACAGGTTATTTTATTTATTTTTTTCTAATATATTAAATTCAGTATTTAAACAGTAATTGTGCTTTAAAATGTACAGACATGTGTTCTCTGTAGAGCATGTGTACTTACTTATTTAAAAATTAAAACGTTTGCATGCGACTGTATAATGCTCAAAAATAAATTTGTAAACTGTTGTAAACTTGTAAACTTGAAAATATATGGAGACTGAGTAGATGGAGACGGTGAACAGAGAATGCAGAATGAGACTGTGCTTCTCTGGTAGTTGGCTAGCTGCCATGGTCTAACGTGCCTAGAGAAGAGCGCTCATCAGAAAATGAAAATTGATCATGTCTGGGCAGAGCTAATCTGCTCAGCGACGTTGCCACAGAGACCATGCTGTAAGTTCACTCTCATGCAGTAAGTGCATGCTAATAAGGTCATGTCAAGCCTCATCCATCCTCTGCGCTCTACACACCAGCAGTCAGTGTGGCAGGCCTGTCCACTGGGCAGCAGTCAATTAAACAAATGGGCATATCACTGTTAAAGGCCAGGCTGCAGCGAGGCCATTCAGCAGCGAATGGCCTTCTAACAGATCGGATGTGGCAAACTAGGCCAAGAAGAACCAGCCAGGCAAAAACAGAGCTCTCTAATATCACTTGATCATTCCCAACAATAAGTTCTCTGTCACTTTGTGGGACATCAACTCTGCTGCATAGTGGAAACAGTGCAGGTTCTATGTCTGCTGTCAAATGATGACTGATAAAGCAGAAAATGTAACTGCTCTTCAGCCATGTTATTATAGTAGAGCCATCAGTGCATGATAACAGATATTAAAGTAAATGAGTGTTTAATCATTTCAATTATATTATCTTAATCAAACACGATTATGTCATTAGAGTCAGAAAGCTTGTCATTTCTGTTTTTTTTTTCTACAGAACCATTAGACCTTAAGATCTGAATTTTGTATTAATGACCCCAAACCAGTCAAATTTACATAGCTGATTAATTAACTTAATCCTTACAGGAAATGACAATGAATGTCATAATTAGTGGAATATATCACTCAGAAATTAATGGAATGTTAATTAATGCAGTAGAATTCTTTGTGGAAACAGAAATCTGCCATAAGCTAGGGTCCTTTTAAAGCTACCCATTCATCATGATATTAAATTGATTGATAGTGTTAAGTAATGATGCAGATAGCCATGCTTATCTTCATAGTACATGTTTAGTTGAGGTGGGCAGAATGCCAAAAATATAGTATTGCTATACTTAAAGACATTTATCTCTAAACACAATATTTAGTTTTTATGAAATTTGTTAAGTTGGAATAGACAGAATGAACCAGCAGTGCTACATTAAAAAATCTATTTTTTTTTTTGTAAAATAAAACCATTTTAGATACTTAACTAAACCTGTTTTGGTAGATTAAGAGTGGCTTATTATTCTGGGATGTCCCTTCACTTTTCAACAAGATGAATTTTTAACAACCGAAGTAAACCTGAAATATTTTTAATGTGCAAAATAGGAAAAACAAAACAGAGCAATATGTAGATAAACCTATGTCGATATTGGTTTCTGGCAAAAATGGTGCTAAATGTTGAGTCACATCTACATTTGGCTAAAATTGGCTTTTTATTTAGGAACTGTTTTGATCAATTTTTTCCTTCCAGTTTAAATGGAGCAGCACTTGCATTCTGGCCCCAGTACAGGTGCAAGAATGTAACTGCTGTGCCATTTAAGGTACAACAGTAATTTCAAATAAACTTTGTTGAATATCTCAAGTTGTTTGTCACATATGTGTGTCCAATACATTCATGCCTCTGACCATCAGACACTGGTGGAATTAGGAGAATATTGCAGTCATTCACACTATCAGTATCAGCTGGTTTTTGGCTTGTTGTGCTGACAAGGCCTGGAGATCTCAGTGCCATCTGAACCAGCTGACCAAGTCAGGTCTAGTGTCCACATTAGGCTGTGGCTGACTCTAACCCCAAAAGACTGACAATTCCTTTATATATTTGTCATAATATATTGTCCCATTGCCCAACCCTAATTCTTACTTGAACACTCATGCATTGAGATGTATCTTTAAGGTAATTTCCACAATGGTCCTGCTGTAGTTCCATTTGGACACAGTGTCATGACTTGGGGATCAGGCTGATGTGAAGTGACCAGGCCACACAGCCCGCAAACAGGCCATCTCTGTCCGCACTGAGAGCAGAGCCTGCTATCTGACATGACAGCGATCGTTGCTTTGATTAATGCTCATGGTCCCAGTGCAGCCCCTGTCCCAACCACCCCCCAAACCCCCTGTGCTCTGGCAGTGATTGAAAAGTCCGTGCTTGGACGTGGCACCCCTTCCCTAACTGGCCTGGCCCGTCAAAGTCTCAGGTGTGGATGGGAATCGTCAGCTCGGCATGGAGTGGAAGGCGCGGGTCGACAGTGTACCAGCCCCTGCCCACCATCTTGCTGCCAGCACTGCCCACCGCCCACCCAAGGCTGACCTTTCCCCCCCCCGCACCGCCCTGTCACAACCCAACACGCACGTCTGACAGTAACACGGGAAGAAAAGGACGTGCATACCGCAGTCCCTGAAATTAAAAGGAATTAACGACTTCAGCCATGCAGACGTCGCATTAGGCAGGCTGGGCTGAGGCTCTCTGGGCAGAAGCAGAGAGACGAGAGGCATTAGCATGGCAGACAGGGTTAATTAGAAAGGTAGTGACAGGTTAATCTGATAGGGAGAGGCTGGAATTTATGTAGATGTTTATGAAGTAGAATGACTGATCTAGATTATGTACATGAAAATAGCATCAAAGATCTAATGACCTCAGAAGGTTCTTTATCCAGCCACACTGGCAAACATTATCTCAGTTCCACTGTTACTGGAAGATGTTAAAAATGGTCATATCTTTGCTCTAAGGTCAAAAATCTGTAATGATTTTTTTTATTGTATGTATTTTTAATACAGAATTTTGAAAACACCAATGTGTGAGCGTCTCATAATGAATGGACTAAGAGAAACAGTGCAAAATTAAGGGTGAATCAGAATCTCATAACATTAATGCACATAAAAAGTTAAGAACCTTTTTTCCTTTAAGTCAATACAAAAGTAGAAGTGCATCAATAGTATATTTTGAAATGTATAGATGAGGACATATAATGTGGTACAGCAGGAGAGAGAAAATGCCAACTAACATAAGGTTATTTCTTACAGCAGTGGCATTCGCTTGACCTTTACATACTGCAGTGTTTCCCTGATGGCACATTGCACAAGTTTTTTATTCAGTGAACTTTTTGCAGTTAAATGTTAAAGGCGTAAAGTGAATTAATTTGAAAAGAACAGTGTATACAACAAAGAATCCTCTTAAATTTTACTTTTACATATTTTCTTAGTTCCTCCCACGCACGCATGAACACAGTGCCATCAGTAAGGTCACATTCACTCTGTGTCTCCTGACGCCCACTGAGACAGGTTTTAAGCGAGCGTGTTTTTCTCTCTAACATATGCTGCTTAGCAGCCGTCAGTAGGTCTCCAGCACTGCCCGAGGAAGCGCAAAGGTCAGCCAGTCAGCTTTGCCAGCCACCAACACAGTTCCCCCCCAGCCAAAGGACTCCCAGAGATTTGAGAACCGCATCACTTTTATTATTAGCACCACTGGAGCATATGCTGTGTTTTTTTCTCCAGTTGAATTGAGTGTTCCTGAAAGGTTAGGGATGGAACAAATAAGTGGGCATGGTAACCAGCCCTCTGGCCATACAGACTTTATGATTTCACAGTGCACGGCTTTTTTCAAAAAGGTCTGCAAGCGAGAAAGATCTGCAAGAGACCTGGTGTTGCCTTTTGGAGGAATGTGTTTTTTTTTACAGACCAGTGGAATTTTACTGTAAACATAAGCATAAAACATTTATATATCAAAGTATTTTTTTTTTAATTAGTGTTTACATATTTTCCGCAAGAAATCAAATGATTGTAGGGTGTGTTTCTACAGAGTGGCAGCTTGAATGTTTATTTAAAATGATTCTGGTGTGTATTTCTTGCAGAGTCGTTCCAAGTGGTTGTGAAGGGGAATGGATTTTTGCATGCTAGAAACACTGATCAGGTCTTATGCAGCTTTAAAGTCAATGACACAGTCACCATGAGTAAGTAAGAGTGTGTTTAAAGGGGAAATCTACCATTAAAAAAAAACCCTGCATAATTTAATTGTTTCATTACAGTGGTGGTGACAGAAACCAGGGGTAATGATGTCTGCTACAAACTTATTTACTATCAAAAAAAAACAGTGAAGTGTGAACAGTGAAGGCCATGTCTAGTGGTGCACTGAAATGAAAATTCCTGCCCGAAATGGAAACAAACACACCTTTGCTGAAAACCGAAACCAAAAACTGAAATGATGGGTTTTTTTTTTATTTTATTTGTAGCCTTATTTATGCTTTTGAATAACTGTACTAAACATAAAAAGTACTGGATAATAAAGAAAATACACTTTTCTTCTTATTATTAATAAAATCTGCTTTCAATAGTACAAAACTGAACTGACAATAAATACAAAACAGTTTACATAAAACAAAACTTGCTAAAATTATTATAGTATGTAGGCTATAGTATGTGCCTATGAAATTCAACGCCCTCAGCAACAGAGAACGGTTAGCCATCCAAGGCAGTTATTTCCAGTAATTTTTACTTATTACTCTTTTTTGTCATTTCAAAAGCATATCAGACCTGTCGTGGAGAAATTCTTGAATGTCGTACCTCCTCCTGATACGCGAGATGAACACAGATCATAAATTGCTTGTCTTTTGCAGGTATAAATGCTACAGATATCTTTTTCCTATCACCACCACTGTGATCAATTCTAACTCACTCTAATTTCTCTAGAACAATGCATTCCACATGAAACCACTCTGAATTACTTTCTTTACATTTTAATGATTGAAATATGGAGAAATTTTAAATATTTGCTGGAGTTCCCCTTTAAGGGGACTTAGATACTGGTATAAACACTGCTCATCACTCATTTCATGAATGATTTTTTCAGCATTTTAGCCATTTAACCTGTTTTAACCTGTACCGTTTCTAAGATAGCACATAGATAACTGCTTATTATATATGAATACTTTTCATATCAGAGCATCTCAGATATGCTGTGTTCTTCATTTACAGATGAGAAACCTGTAAACATTGAAGACACACTCCTGCTTTGCCCAGCACCGGTGATAGATGAAGTTGGAAAGTAAGTGTTGAAGTCAGTCATTACCCTGTTTGCCCTAACACATCTCAAATTGGTACCCTTGAAAAATTAGGGTCAATGTCATTTGAAATTTCCCTTATCAGTCAAGCTTTACACCTCCTAACGCAGTAAGACACCAGGCGTGTTGTGCAGAACGCAAGGCGAGCATTTAATTAGCATCTCTGAGAGTTTAGCCACCATGGGCTCATCTTGTGTGAGAAGGAGTGAGTGAGTGTGTGAGCCTAGGGCTGCTGGTCCCTTGAGCAGATCCATGGAGTGAAACATGGAGCCCCCATATCCACGTGAGATAGAGTTAGACCCTGAAGAGTGGCTTCAGCTTCCTGCTGGCTCTTTGCTCTCAGAACAAATGAGCTGCGAGCAGCTGCATGCTGTGCTGCAAGCTCTCTGCATAATGATGAGCCCTGCCGGCTCTAGACACCTTGAGGAATTCATGTCTTGTTCTTGTCAAGAAGATTTCCTCAGCTTGTTTGAGCCTTTCTTGTCTCCCAGTGAGGGAGAGCCACGTTGGTCCTGGAGCTAAAGGGGGTGTTTTTCTACACAACTTGACACTCCATCTGTGTACATCTATATCTCTATTATACTGTTTTGGAATCCATAACCATAACCATAACCTTTGTCTTTCTCACTTGGGTCATTTGTGAGTAGCATGATAGTGATAGTGTAATAGAACGCTGAAAGTAGTTTATCACATGCTACCTTAGTTTTTTTTTACAAGACATCAAAGGGATTACTGAGAAAATGAAAGATATAGTGACTGTTCCCAAAGCTGTCACTGTGTGGTGAGGCATAAAACAGTGTCTACTATTAGGCGTGGGCAAAAATATCATGATGCATGAAAATATTTTCATGACAGACAGTATGTGTCGTGATATTTTGTGTCATGGTGTTTCTGAGGCTTCATAAGTTGAAACAGGCAAAAAGCACCACTAGTGCCACATTTAAAAAATACCAAAAACTATGAGTACAATGATTTTTATTCAACATTTCACTGCACTGCACTTTTCTAATTAAACAAGTCTAATTATGCGCTCTTTCTAATGAAACACACAAGCGGTAACTGTCATAAGCTTAGCCAAAATGCTGTAACACCATGTTCCAAACACCACAAAACAGGATAGATTTGGTTTTATGTCTCTCTCAGACATTAAGTTAGATTTTATCATCTACAGTTGTTTTAGCAGAGCATCTGTTAATCAGAATCCAACCTGTACAGTGTGTGGTACTGTTTGGGTCTGTAGCCTGCTTGCTAAGTTGAGATATAAGGCTACAGATCCAAAAAACACAGAACAGGTTTAGTTTCACGTTTCTCTCTCTTCAACACCAGTTGCTCAACTTTACTCCCTAAGATTTGAATAATTTTATCGAAATTTAGACAGCATCAAAGATGTTCTGTGCTCAGCAGAGCTGTTAACCAGCTCCTCTCTCCTAGTTAGCAGCATTGTTTAGCATTTAGCAGTTTGCTGGTTTGATATTTCCCAGGTAGCAAGCATACATCGGTCTGCTGGCTTGATAAGGTCAGAACCCCGCTGATTATATGCCACTACTGCTCCACCCACGGACCACCTAGATTATTGTCCGGCATACAAAGTCTAACTAGTTAGACTAAGACAAATATTGTAAACAATTGAGAAAAAAAATTAATGACCCAGCCTAATATAAAATGATTTTGTTGAAAATGTTGTTGCTGTTTCTGTGCCCCGTGACCCAGAAGGATAAGCGGTTTCAGAAAGTGTGTGTGTGTGTGTGTGTGTGTGTGTGTGTATAACCAGCTTTATTTATGATTTACTAAATTCTTCACAGAGGAGAACGAAAGTAAAAAATAAAGAAAAAGAAAGTAAATTGGACTGTGAGTGCAGAATGAGTTTAGCTAACAGTGTGCTCAGTTTCTGTGTTAAAAGGTGCAGACCAATAAATCAGATCATGATGATGTCTATGGTAATAACAGAAATAGCCGCTTCTTTCCAGCTTCATCAGATACTGAAACAGATATTGACACAACTGCACAAGGCAAATGCATCAGTATGTCAATCTGAATATGTTAAATAGAGAATGTCAGTTTTATTAACTTGGATTTGTGGATGGCCATATGAGAGGTGAGTGTGTGTTTTGTCATGTTTGAGGGGGGAGAGAGGATGATTTTAGGGCACAGACTGTCTGTCATCCCCCCCTCACTTCAGTGGTAGCCATGTCTTTTGAGATGAAGTTGTCAGTGCTGTCACCCAAACGCGTGGTGACTGAGAGGCTCTCCGAAGACGTGCTTAAAAAGGGCCAGCCACGGCCTGATTGATGGAGGATGAGATGGCTCTGTCACCAGACCCCCGTTCTACTGTTCCCCTCCCCCTGCCAAGGGGCTCTTGAAGGGGTGTGCAGGCCTTCCACAGGCACAGGAAGAGGGAGAGAGAGAGAGAGAGAGGTCGGGGCAAGACCCCTACAGTAACCTATTGACAGCTACATCCCCTGATTTTTCCTGTGTATAAAATAGGGATATAGCCCCAGAAGTGAACGCTGTGGATATTTCCATCAGGCTAGAACTTTCTTTAGTGCCCATGGTGGAGCCAAACATGGAAGCATCCCTCATGTTAGGTGAGATTCCATTTTTGAGAGAGCTGTCATATGTAGAAGCTGAGAGGGACAGTGACAGCTTTGACGTCCATAAGAATGGGCTGCTACTGTCCAATTTCTGATTGCCTCACAAACATCCCTCTTTTTCTTAATGCAAACCAAAGCACAGCTTGGTGACTTAACCCTTAGAAGTCTCTGTTATCATCAGAAATAACAAGAGCTTGTTGTAATCATGCAAATTCAATCATGTCAAAAATGCAGATTGTAAGCTTTCCATTGATACATTTATATTTGTAAGCAGAAGATGAGATATTATATTATGTTAATTATGTTAAACTTGATGAAAAGATTTTGTTGTGCACACAGTCTTGTTTGGTATAAAGAAAATCATCCTTTACATTTTTTGCAAAGTGTATGTTTGTTGACATTTATATGAGTGCAGACTCAAACCTGATGATACAGAACATATATATAACAATGTATATAATGATGTTATTATATGTAAATAGCAAAACAATAAGAGTAGCTGGAAACATCTTATGGTTAAATTCCCTTATGTGGTTCTCAGGTTTTCAAGAATGATTCTGACCGGACACGTGGACAAAAACAAGTAGCATATAAAGGAAAAATGTAGGATGTATTTGCACATTTATACTCAATCAAAGCTCATTATGCTGCTGGTCTATAGGTCTATGCAGAGCATTGTTGGAATTTATTTTCTATTTTAATTTAGAGGGATTTGCTCTCAGACTGGTAAGAGCATGTCCTGGCCCTTCTGGCTAAAAAGCAAGGGAGTGGCCAGAGTATTTTTAACCAGCTACAATTTTTTCCATTGGTTTACAATCACACGCATAAGTTGACCTCAAAATAATTGAGGTAATCTGTTTCCCTGGTACTTTTAAGTTCACAAAATCACAAGTTCATAAAGTTCACAAAGTTCATAAAATCAAAAGTTTAAAAGGTTAAAACTTTGTAGAACATAGAGGTTTAGAGTTAGTTATGGTTATATATTTTTATTGTGTAATAGTTAAATTATTGAGGAAGATCAAAATGTTTATTTCTATAATGCACTATAATTAAGTTTATGTAATTAAACCCATGAAAAAAACAACAACACAAAAAGGATTGGCTTATTATTTTTAGGCAACTGATTGCCTCAGAAAATACATAACATGAATGGACTCGAAGCATTTATGCTAAATTAATCTCTTTTTTTTTTGCTCTGCTGATGACATCAACATCAGCATCAAAGAACACTAAATAATGGACTACTCCATAAGTAATGACTCACTGGCTTCAAAACTGCCAGAATTATGAATTTCAGGGAATTCCAATGAGTTTGTGCCAGTTTAATCAAAAGCTGATTAAAGGCCATCCACAACCAGTTGTTTATGTGTATGCTAGTACCACGGGCTGACCTGATAAACCTGAACACAAAACACTATATTGGTTGATACATACTTGTAAAATGTATTCAAACCTAACCCATTATATGAAGATAACAAGTTAAAACCCAGATGAAATAACAGAAATAAGACGAATGATGAATTAATGAATGAATTGATTTAATGAATTTTGACTTTGGGGTTTACAATGGTGTTCTCTTTCACTCTTAAACGACACAAATTTGAGGTGTTTCACTGATTTTAAAAGAGAGTTTTAAAGTAAATGTATGAATGCACCTGTAATGTTGTTCTGAAGGGCAAAAGAGAATGTTCTTAAGCTGAAGCTGGCCCAGATACATTCATTCATCTTATCTAACCAGTGAGAAGGGTTTATGGATGTGCCCCCTGATCTTCTTGTTGTGCAAATGACTGCGAGACTGTTTAAGGATTCTCTTCAGACGGAACAAAGCCATTAGCAGCAAGAAGAAAAGCTGTGGTTTCCTCCTCCTCCCTGGTTTCACTTGCCTCACCCTGCTTCCTCACTCTTACATTCTGCTCCTGACTACAACTCTGAAACAATTGTGATTTTGGCTGTAACTTCATACTTTATTCTTATCTGGCTATGTTAATGCGAGTTCTGTATCATGTCTGTGGGACTATTCATGATGAAATGTCCCCACAATATACAAAGTAACCGGGGTTTTCAACTGGTGTAAAAAAACGAGGTGATGAGGTTTAAATATGATACTGACAATATTAAAAATACATTAATGTAACGTTTAAAAATGACTTAATATGACTTAGCATGAATTGATGACTGGATTCCTTGCTTATAAAAGTCATCTTCTATTGCAAATTACAGTATTGCAATAAGGATTAACGAACAATACATTGCACAGACCTGTCCACAACCAGCATGCCGGTAATACAAACAAGTGCCTAAATGGACTGATCCAGGCAGCTTTTATCTGCCAAATCCCTCTTCTTTGCATTCTCCCAGCATTCTGATGGCCAGAGCTGATAGGCAACAGAGGGGAATTCAGTGGAAGTCATTGAGGAAATTATCGCTCACCAAATAACTGTGAACACACCCTTTTATCCTGCTCCAGATTCCACTTTGTCCATGCCAAAGTTTGATGAGAGCGAGCTGAGCTCAGCTCCACGGCTTGGAATAATAACATGATTACAAGCTCACACAAGCCACCAGAGGAATGTTCAGAGTCTGTTTTGGCTGTGGCTTTTCCTGAAGCGTGACTGCTATCTGTTTTGTGCTCTGGTGCAGGGTGATATATCTCCAAGTCAGCATGAATGAAGGCTTTTCCTACATCACTAGTGCAGTGCACATCACCACCACAGAATGTGTAAGTACATCCAATTTGTTCTACATGGATCTAACACCTTCTGCTTCTTTGCCACTCAAGGAAAACATCACTTTTACCAGAAATAGTGCAGTCCAGAAAAGCAATTTTAGAGAATGTGATCCCACTGATAATTTCTCTCTTTTTGACTTTCATTTTGTATCTTGTGTGCTTCTTCCATCCCCTTCTTATTCTTTATTTTTCTTTCTTTCTCTGATTTCTGTCCTTTTGTGAAGTCTCCTCTGCTTTCTTTCATCAGAGGAGGCACTTCAAGTAAGTTTACATTCTTTCTTAGCAAAGGGCTTTACAATATGATTCATTTGATAGTCAATCTTAGGTCCCTTCACATAACATCGCAGCCAGATTCCTGTCTGTTCTTCCTGTCTTTTTACTGCTTGTGTTGAGTAATGTTGGCCCTGCTGATGTGTGAATAGAGATAAAATGTGTGTCTCTTTATCTGAGTGCAGTTTGACGGCACCATTGTCTTCCTGGCCTTGCTGGTGATCTTCCTGCTGGTGGGTTTGCTGCTGTTGTGGTGGTTTTGGCCTCTGTGCTGCACTGTGGTGAGTACTTAATCAGCGCCTGATTAAGTAATGTAACCTGTGAAGACTTGTGAGAAAACAAGTCTCAACAGCAGCATTTTTGTCTTACAGGGTTTTTTATGGTATACTACTGTTACTGGATAAACAAATTATATATTTATGCAGTATGGTGCAAAAGTCAGAGACCACTTTTCGTTTATTATAGTTGCAGTCAGAACGGCCAAAGTTGTTGATTTTTCAGAGACAGAAAAAAGAATAATACATATTTAATAAAAGATTACACATTTTCCCATTTCCTCTGTGTATTTGAACTCGAGTTTCAGAAACTCTTCTGACTTTCCCCTTCCCCATGCAAGACAATTATCTTATACTAGATCTTCTTAGAAATATCTCCTGAAAGTGAATAACTCGTACTTAATGGCCATTTTGAATGAAAATTTAATCAATGAAGAGTGGTCTCTGACATTTGTACAGTGTTATATGTCATCACTGTCATAAAAAAACCTCATATCTCCAAAACAAAATCTTTACAAGTGAAGAAAGAAGTATTTTTAATGTAGTTAATGTAACATCAAATTTTTCAGAGTATAGTAGACTGTTTCCATTGGTCAATTTGTATGAAATAAAGAAAACATTTTGCAGTTTCATCTTTGGTTGTGATGTGACAGTGACATTATATAATATTATATTATGCTTAATATGTCCTTAAAATTGTCAGTGGTACTATGTTTTTTTTTATATTTTATAATTTAGTTTTCTATTACAAACAGGTCATCAAAGAGCCACCTCCACCGCCACCACCTGAGCCTGTGAGTTCACTAATTATATCTGGCCCTCATCAAGTTTGAGTGTGTATGTAACAGATTTAACATGATACTGAACAGCTACTGACAATAACAAAGGCTGTTATCAACTCTTCTCAGTGTGGATAAATAGACATAGTGTAGACATAAATAATTACCTTGTTAGTTACATAATGAATTACATTTACATTCAATTTACATTATGCCTTGACAAAATTGTCTGCATTTTCAACCTTCTTCTGTTTGTTTTTATGTCAGTTAATGATAACAAAATTATAAAAAACAATAAAAGATGGTTCTTCATCCTGCGAAGCAAGACTATACACTATATGATCAACTAGTAAGTACTAATAAAATATATGATGTAGATTTGAAATATGCACTTTCAACAAACTTGCACTTCCACTTGGTTCGATGAGCTACGAGTGAGAAATAATTCATACAAAATTACAACAAATTTTTGCTCTCATTGGCAACAACTTTAAACTTTGAAAGCTTGGCCAGTTCTATAACTTAAAAATAACTCAGCCAGTCTGCAATGTAGTCCATGTAGTTACTGAATAATAAGTCTTAGAATGTAATAAGCCATTGGCTCACTCTAATATGACTCTCTTAGAGATGGTGACACTTTGACTCATGCAGCGGCTGCAGCAGCACAAGTGAGCGAGCGTGAGGGAGAAAGTAGAGCGTCGCTGCACTCTAGCATGGCCGATGGGCAGACAGCACGCACTCATCACACAGCAGAATATGCAGAAAGACCCTCTTGTGCTCGCTTTGTTCACAGAGGTCAAAGGCGAGGCTGATGTGAAATAAAAGAGCTTTGTGGAAATGGCCTAAGAGTGCGCATCTGTGCCACTTACACTGACTCCCCAAACAAGGAGCTCTGTCTCCACGGCTTTACTGGGTTGGAAGTTTCCCTTTGATTTGCAATCACAATAAGGATGCTATTTTTATCTCTGGCATTATTTGGACATGTCTTTGTGTTTATCCTGTTTGCGTGGGAGTACACTAATACTGACTCTAAATCAGAGCCTTTAAAAAGAACAGACAGTGTGAGGTTGTTTTAGACTTGGGTGTATCAGTAATGTACTGAAAACTTGGTTTAATTTTTTATAAGAGAATCTAAACTTGGCGTGTGTTTGCCTGTGTGTGTGCAGGAGTCTGATGATGAGGATGGGATGCCAAAGAAGAAATGGCCTACGGTAGATGCCTCATACTATGGAGGCAGAGGAGTTGGAGGTATTAAACGAATGGAGGTAATATATTTTATTTAATTTGACATGTTTTTTATTTTATCAAAAAATTCCATTGATTCAGCAACTGCTAACAGTGAAAGAGGCATTTCTGCCGTTGATATGCAGTGCTGTATTGTCCAGTCACATTACCAGTCTACGTTAAGTTTAATGCAGTTTAACTTAGGTTAACAGAGGCTACAGGGGTATAAAGGCCAAATGTGACAACTGATGTCATGAGCCCTGTGGCTATAGGAGCATATAACATGGCTTGAAATTCTCTCTGTGTGCCTTTTACCAGTGCGGAAGGCGTTGCTACTTAAAGTAGGCCTTACAGTTTTCCATTATGAACTGAGATCCTTGGAAACCTCTTATTTACAGATCATCATTATAAATACACACAAATATAACATTACTGTTATATGAAAACTTGTAAGTCCATTTTTATGTCATTTGAAAATGACAGCTGCTCTTTATAGGTGTTTAGATTTGGCTAATATTCCAAACTGATATTTGATGATGTATTTATTGTGCTCCTGAAGAGCAGAACGTTCAGGCCACACTGGGCTACTGTGCTAAAATCTCCACATTTTATTCATTTTACTCCATTTGTAACCCTAAAGAAATAAATAATACATTTCTCTGTATTCCTAATCTATGTATATTTAGTACCAATTTCCACATTTTATAAATATTTATGCATCAGCAGATACATATTTTAAAAAATATTGGATATCGGCATCAGCCCACACTTCCCATCTCTAGCTCTTTACATTATGTAAACATTTCATGACAAATGAACCAGTAAAAATGGTTCAGAACTGCTCATTTCAGGCTGTCTGCAGTGTTCAAATGAATCTTCTAACTTAAAAATATTACACAAATATTATATACAATATAAATATTAAGAACATATTTTTGACACCTAGGAATATATTTCTTTGGCTTTTGTGTCTCTTTGAGGACAGTGGTATGTTTGTGTGGTGTTTGTTCACTTCATTGAGATCATGGCACTTGGAGAGTGATACCCATCAATATTAACGTACATTCTAGTTTAGAGTGTTTTTCCTTTTTCATGTAAATTCCCTGTTTTGAAGGTGCAAGTGATGCATCAGTGATGATACAGAGCCTTGAGTAGGGTTCCTCTCTTTGCCTGTGAGGGTTGTGAAGTTTTGCTGGTATTGTGTAGGTGCGCTGGGGAGATAAAGGCTCTACAGAAGAAGGGGCTAAGTTGGAAAAGCCCAAGAATGCAGTGGTGAAGATGCCTGAGCAGGAGTTTGAGCCCTACGAGCCCAAACCCAAAAGGCCTCCCAGAAACCAGGCTGCCCCAAGGAGATGGTACTCTCCCATTAAGGTACTGCATTCCCTCAAACTTTCTGTGCTGTGCATTCATAATGTAACATATCACATACATTATGTAGAACGCTACCATTAGGCCACAATAACAAATGGCTTCTGTAATAAATCCATTGAAAATATAGAATAAAATTTAATTCTAATTAGAATTTTATTTAATTCTTTTAATTTAATAATAAATTGAAAATATAGAATTAACACTCATAAGAGAGCACATGAAGTTTGGAAAGATTTTTGAGTGGTGTCGCTGTGCTTAGGGGAAACTGGACGCTCTGTGGGCTCTGTTCCGCCGTGGATACGACCAAGTGTCTCTAATGAGACCCCAGCCTGGAGATCAGGTACATATCCAGTATGAGTCCATCGCTGAGGTTACTCTTTTTCATAACAGAGCCACCTAAAAGGCTTTATCTGAGTGAGATATATATATCAAATACTTCAGTCTACATCCTTGGAATGCAGTACAATTGGGCCAGCATGCAGAAGAATTGGCAAGTCTCTTTGCCTTATAAGGCACTTTTCTTCCTTGCTTTAATGTTTAAACTGGCTCTCTGTTGAGCACAGCTGGTCAGGTGAAATAAGGTTTAGGCTCTTTTAGATTGACTTCCTTGTGGAATTTGAAATTCCAGGATACAGGTTCATTACTAAAGGAGATTTATTTTATGCAGGGGCTCAAAACATTTGATGAAAGTAAGGGTGGGCAGTAGAGAATCACATATACTTGAAGGCTTTTTCACAATATAAAATGATGTATCACAGTATTTTGTTTTTCTGACCACAAGATGGTTCAGAAAAGTCTAATTTAAAGTCTATGAAAACTGTAAGTATGATTTTTTTTTATACATTTGCTATTTATAACTATTTCAGAAAGAAAGAGAGGAAATGGATAAAAATACATTAAGAAAGTATGACATAATGGGCTGACAGTAATAGTGAGAATGAGGAAAGGCTTAGCAAGCTGTTTGTAATTCCCTTGCGCATGGAACAAGTCTGTTCCGGAACAACTTCTGCTTCAGGTCCATTAGCATCCCATTTCTGTGAGCAGGCATTTGTCAGTGCGTTATTCCACCAGAGCAAGCTGCGTCATGGCAACACATCTGCGTGGTCATGAAAGGCATCTTTCATGTGGGCCGGGGCGCTGCGGACCGTACAGTCTGATTCCATTGAGCAGGACAAGGCATTGCTCCACTCCCACTGTGGATGGACTCATCTGATTTACCCTGCTCTTATTGAACTGCGCTACAGAATGGACTGCTTGTGTGAGGGAGGGCCAGTGCCCAGCTGCTCTGTACACTGTGCAGGAGCTTTGAAAGGCGTTGGGAAAGGCAGCAGACTCAGTAAAGAAGAGGGCTTGGCTGATAACAGCTGTAGCATTCAGACTGGTTCGAGCATGTTCACAGTGAGCTGTGTGTTTCATACCCACCTGCAGAACAATGTCCCGTCAGCCCTGCTGGCACAGCACACAGCGCACACCACAGTGGATGCACTCACAAACTTCCTGCTCTCTCTGTTGTCTCACTGCTAGCCTACTTGCTGATTCGTAATCTGCATTTTTTTTGTCACCTTTTCACTTGCTAATTCTCCTAATTTGCTTATGTCTTCCTCCTGCTGTCCCCCTTTTACCCTCATTCTGTTTCCTATATTTATATTTTCTTTCCCCGTGTTCTCTAGGGGACCTTCTTGAGGCTTGAAAGTATGTTGTGAAGTTCTGCTTCTGTGGCTGAGGGTCCAAAGTTGGGATGCAAACACAGGCCATTATTATCTTCACTTTTATTTTCCACTTATTTCATAGTCCCAGTTGTATGAATATATGAATATAACCCTGAGGGAAAATTGTGGGCCTTAGTGGTCTCAATTTATTTGACAAGCTGAAAAATCCAGTCCAGATTCTAAATTTGCATAAACAATAACTTGAAAAGGCCACATTCTTAGATATTGGACGCTGATATGCAATGTGAAGGATTAAAAAGGGGACAGCAAAAAACGTATTTTGTTGCATGTTTATATTTTTATTCAAAGTTTAATATGAGGCTAAATGTCAGCTTTTATTTTTCAGCAACAGTATAATCAGTGAGACAAATCAATTAAAGCTTATGTAATAATTGTTTAGGGTTAACATTTGTGGCGCACACCAAACATGCAATAACTGCCTCAAAATTCATGCTCAGTTGGATTTAATTAGGAACACTTCAGTTTAAAACTCTCCATGGTTTATTTTCTTGAACTTTTTAGGTAAGTGTCGTGTGTTTTGGTTTCCTGTCTTGCTGCATTATGAACTTCTGGCCAAAGTGTTTGGATGCATGTTTAGACAGGATAAGATAAGATATTTCTGGTATATTTTCAGAGTTCATTAGTTCACTTGAATCCTCAAGACCACTGAGCCAGTTCAGCCATACATGACCAGACCATGGTACTGCCTTATGTGCTTAGTTTGTAAATTCCAGTCTGGTCTTTCTGTTGATGGTGCCGATGAGAGATTTGCAACTTAAAATGTGGCTTCTGTTGAAGTCTTCTATGAACGGTAGCATGTGACAGTTTTAACCCTGCAATCTACAGTGCACCAGCCATTTTATTCTGGGCTTTGTCTTCACAGGTCTAATGTTTTTCTGTCATTGGCTGCTATGGTCCAGTTCTCCAATATTTCTTATTTTTTGAAGCTTTTCTATACTTTTGATCTTGCAGTGCACATATATCTTACTTTTCCATCAGAGTGAATTCCTGAGTGATTACCTTCGTAAATACTGTTTAGCTCAAAAACAAACATAAAAGCCTAACTCACTGGCTAAAACCAGCCCTACATTTTCCGTCTCACTCCTATTTGTCCCAATGCTTATGCTTAGCTAAAATCGGGGGACTGAAAACACACACACAAAAGGTATGACATTGTCTTGGTTTAGTTTAACTTGCATGAGAAATAAGACCCAGAAATCAGAGCTGACATTCTTTACTTTAGCCTCAAGAACAACAGCTTAGTTAACTTCCCATATCCCAATACATATGCTTCACATATCAGTATACGTTTCTCATATCTGTGTATCAGTTTTTTCTTTTTATGGCTTATGTCTTTTAGCTTGAAAGGCTTTTGAATCCAGAGGAAATGCAGCCGGTTAATATTAATGCTCAGCGTTAACATGTACAACCTATAGCTAATATATAACACAGATGCCATTCAGGTTAAACTCTTTATCCAAAAGCCTCAGTGCACACATTGTAATGCAGAAGTGACAGATTTGTTTTATTATCCTCTGAAGAAAGGATTTCTTGTCACTGAAAGTCTTTGTTGGTTCTTTTGTCTGCCCTGTTTACAAGGCCACTTCAGTTGAAAATGAGTCGCCTTGCATGGTCTGGGTATGCCCATTTACTGCTAAGACAAAGAAAATCTGAGGAAAGGCAGGCAGCCATGTTTTTGTACTGGATTGTTTTTTGCTAATGACCCACTGGAATGTAAAAGTAAAATGACCCAGTCTGGCTAGCAGAAGGGATTAGCCATTTAACATTACAGTCACATAAAAGTGAGAATGAAAAGGGTGTAACCCGTAGTTTATCACTCATTTCCCTCTCCTGTTTTGGATCGTCCTGAAACAGATACTTGGTGGTCTGATTTAACACCTTATTAAACAGAGACCTCTGATGTGACATGGTGCCACTGAGCAGAGTATAGAGCCTACATTTTATGGTGCTAGGCCTTTGTTTGACCAGTGTGGGGGCTGGTGGGCATAAATTCGGGGTTGCTTAGCAAGAAGGGTGAAGCCATCACTCTGGCGGTCGTGTGCGGCGAATGGGACAATTTGGTGAGCAGCAATGCAACAGCCCCACACCAGTGTGAGCATATGGCCCGAATGGAGAATGGAGCCTCATGAATACTGTGCAGATGTGGTGGAGGGAGAAGAGAGAGCTAGCAAGTGGAGGGGGAAGGGAAATGGAGAGAAATCAGCACATATGGTGTTTGAACCATTGTGGATGGCCCCCAGCAGGCTTCAAGCTTCTGCAGCAGTTGGACAGCAGTTTCTGAAGTGGGACGTCAGGCTACAACACATTTAACACGATGCACCTGTACACACAGCTGTATCTCACCCTCACTATACTGACATCTTCATCTTCTGCTTCTGCCTGAAGAGTCTTTTAGTCAGATTAGCACCTTAACCTCTTAAACTGGCCTACATTTGAATTCCTCAGAATTTACACATAACGTGCATAATAATTTATAGTAGATTAACAGTACTGAATAATAAGTCTTCTCAATATTAAATGAATAATAAGCCTCTGGTTGATGAGATTAATTGAACAGCAGTTCCATGCACCGCAGGTCTGAAAAAATAGATTGAGGCTGCCATAACAAAACTTTGTAACTTTTAACCATTTTTCACAGTAGCCGGAAATGGCAATTTCTGCCTGATTTGGAACTATGCATTTTTAATAACATGGATAAAATAGATATCAATAAGAATGTGTATGACTTACAAAACTGTAAGTGAACTGGATTTTCACCCTTATTGGTGAGCATGCAAGTCAAGTTTAAAAGAAGTATTTTATTTTGTTTAAGTACCATTTTTATTAATTATTTTATAATTTTTTATTATTTTTGGCTGTTTTATCTCGATATGGAGTGGTGTGAATTGTTTTTATAGCAGGGGTTTTCACCCCTCCCTTTTCACTCCTCATTGCTTACTAGCAGCCCAACAACATTTCACACACAGAAAACCAACAGAGTTAGTAGTAAAAAATCTTTTAATTGGTGACATTAATTAAAACTATCTGAGTCAGTTTCCATTCTGCTAGTGGAATGTGTCACTAGGGGGCCTGCAGAAAGACTTTAATATCAAAAAATGTATAAATATATTGTTAGTCATATCAAAACCTCTTAATTTTTTGATTGAAAACACCAGCTGTCCTTTACATTGTCTGAACATTTTATCAATAATGTTAACTCTTCCCCTTATTTATATGATAGTTGTTATGTAAAGCTTGTTGTAAACACATTTAAAGCCATCATTTTAAAGATATGTTGTTTTAGCTGTATGTCATTGAGGAGAGACTGGCTGTGTGTAGAATTTTAATGTTTACTACTGTAGCCGACTCTCTGAGTGCCCTCATTGCTGTGGCTCATAAAAAAAAAGTGAGGTGGTCCATCCCGTACCCCAGCCTTGATCCAGTGCTGTAAGAAGCTGGAACAAAAGGAGGGGAATCTCTCCTGTCACAGTTGGGCTTGTGGCCTTTAAACTCTCCATCTGTTTGTCTGACGAGTAATCAAACGGCGTGGCAGAAAGTGGCACCCCCCTGACGGCTGCTCTCATTGCCACTCAAGTGAAAGTAATTCAAATGGATTTAGGGAGTTTCTCCCCTTGACTGTGGACTTAAAGCTGCCCAGATATTCATAGGTTAGTGTTGCGCTTTTTGTGTCAATTAGCTGTTGAAAAGACCCTCATCAACACAGGCTGGATCATATTAAATGAGTCTGATTGATTGGAGCTGCTTTCATGACCCTCCGCATTTGTCTAGCTAATGCTTCGACAGTCTCTCTTTATTGGATATATGTGAGTTCATATAGTTTTGACTGTGTAACATTTTAGATAATGTTTTATATCAGTGCTGGTCCTGGTCCTTTTTCTGTCCAATATCATTTCAGTGTTTTTTTTGCTCTAGCACACCCAACACAACTAATCAGCAAATTAACCGGCCTTTCCTGAATTGGACTGGGTATGTGCAGAGGTACTGGAGGACTAATCTCAAGAACCACTGATTTAGATAATAATTTAGATAACAATATAATTAATACCAATTTAATTATCTATGCATTTATCAAAGGAACTAACAAATAATATAAATAAGGAGCTTCATGTTTTCACATCGAAATCACTAAATACTCCCATCTTTAAGAGCTGTTCATCATGAACATGTCTGACACTAAAACATGAACATGTCTGTTACTAAAAAAAATCAAAATCAAATTCAACCTGAAATAATGTTCGCTGTCTCTCTATAAGCGCTGGTGAGTGTTTTATTGCTGTGACAAAAGCGATGTTGTTCCACTTTCAGTGATGTTGAGTCCAGAATTACGGAATGTTTCATTTTTCGCAATAAATGGTGCGTAAAGCTTTGAATACCTTTGTTTAGGTCATCCTTACGTTGGAACCCTTGAAAATATCCTGACAATAGCTTCTGAAAGTTTAGTCTTCCTGACAATGATGAATCACTCTGCTTGTAAGAATGCAGCTTTTCTCAAAGCTTTTCCTCAGTGGAGGAAGGGCATTTTCACCAGCACCCATTCTTCCCAAACTGCTTTGCTGCAGCCCCTCAACCCCACCCCCATGATTTTAAGGACAGAATTATGGTTGACAGCTGAGGTTCTGAGTGTGTGAAGTGTTGTGTCCTCTTGGGGGTCATCTTCTGGGCATTGCAGGCCAAAGCCAGTCAGGCCACCTAAGACTGACACCAGTCTGCGACCAGTAGTTCCAGAGCAGGCTCTTTTGTTCTTTTATTAACCCTGTTTATTTGCAAGGACTTTTTACTGTCATCACTTATTGCAAAGTAAGAGATACCAGAGGAAGCTAGGCTTTAAAGGCAGTATGCTCAGATCACTGGGTTACACCTGTTTTACACATGTTTTGATATGCAAAAAAAACATGATTTAGAGCCAAAATTTCATAGATTTTGAGATTTTGAGCTTTCAATCATATGTATAGGTATATAATTCACAGTTCATTCACATTTATCATTAGTCTGATGGAATACATCAGTAATAAGCCCATAGTGATCTGAATTCTGCTGTGAATGTGTGCACATGCATGCTCAGAAACTACTGTAGTGCATCCAACAGTAAATGCAGTATTATGCCTCTTTCAGTAGCAGACTGTGAGAGCTCAAATTTCACATACTGATATATATATTACAGTGCCCACCATGGCTGCCATAATCACTCAGGGTGGCAGATTTTAAAAGGCCCATATCCTACATTTTATTGTTTTATAGTATTTTTTCCATTGGGCTTGTTTTATGATGTTCGTGTGGGTTTATGTACAAAAAAAGTCCAAAATTCATTTTTACATGACCATTTTCCAACATCTTTTTGTTCACTTAGAATTACACAGCCTATTATGTACTGTGCTTTTAAGACTGACTTGTATTGTGCCTCATTTGAAAAGCAGTCTGGTGAATATAACATTAGTGTGAATGGGCAGGGCTAACAGCAATACACTGACTTAATTGGGTATATAAATTATTCGGTTTTTGTGACACGAGTTAAAGGAGATGTCTCTGAATGTTCACCACTGAGACATTAGGTGTGGTTCATTTTGATTCATTTTGTCTTCTCTCTGTCTAACTGTTTTTTAGGGATAGATGGGTAGAACGTTAATTTTAGCTCTTAACTGTCAGTTATCCTGCCATCTGCTGTGTCCCTTCAGGGTCGATGCATCAACTTTACACGGGTGAAAGAGGAGGCAGTCCGAGCACCATTGCGCCAGCCTCCACCACCTCCACCACCCCCACCGGACCGCCAGCCCCTGGTGCGCCCCACCTCAGCCCCTCCCAACAGACCACCCTCCCGTGGACCCTCCATCAGCCGTTCATCCCATGGACGCCCCCCCAGCCAGAGCACCCCCAGGCCCCCCAAGACAGCCTCCCTCTCGCCCCCCACCCTGTCCTGGGAACCGGCGCTGAGAACAATGGAGAACTTTCATCACCCTAAATTCTGTCTTTACCAACATAAATGCTGGTATTTATCTTTAAGCCACTGGCTTGCAGCGCTAGAATTTTAGATTTGTTGCTGGACAGCAAAAATGAATCACGGAGTAATCAGCTACTGTTTGTAGTTGGGATGTCTAGGATTCTGCTTTCTGAGTTGGGTTCTGGATCTGCTTTAAAAGAATCATGTTCTTTGTGGTTGAGCAGTTGGCTTTGGTGAGATTAAGGAAATCACATGAGTTCAGTAAGTTCACTCGTTTTTTTTTTTTTGAAAAGCAGCCTTGTATTTCTGTAGGCTTATAAATATTGATGAGTATGGTTTTGTATGTCAAATTAAGCTTAATGCTATTTTTTTTATGTCAGAACTGATTAAATGACTGAACATTTATGCTCAAAGATAGAAAGAATTCAAATTGAATGTTCAAGAAGAAAGAAGTCATGCATGCTGAAGTGCAGGGTAGTCAGCTGTAAGTAGTTTCCTACATTTTAAAGCAGTATCCTAAGATTACCTGGTTACGCCTATAAAAATAAAATAATTGCAACTGCAGGGCAGTTATATCCTCTAATTTATTTAGCCTTGGTTCCTGGAAGGCACTTGAGCACAGACAGACAGGGTGTCCACCATTATTATGGGACACTATGCATGGGACACTATTTCAGCTGACCCCTTCACATATAATGAGCACTAAGGACATTTCTCTTGTCTTTTTGTTTATATGCGTTTTCGCTTTGTGATCTTATTTTTGTGGTATAGAGTAGAACGTTAAGCATTGTGCATGGGGAAAGGGGGCTTTGATTCGCTTATAATGCTTCGTCTACGAATTTATAACATTCCACTTTAAATTAAAAACATGTAATGTTCTAAACTGTGATAATTGGAATATGTGAAAGGGGAAATATGGAATCCTCCAGTCATAATTGGTTGTTCTAATTTGACACTCAGCAATGCTACAGACTAACCAAATAACATTGTCTTTTTATTAAACATTTTTGTTATCCTCAAAGCATGGAGTCGTATTTCTTTACAAACAGTAACTGTTTGAATTTAATTATGGCAAGAAGTCACCAGGTCGTGTATGACGCCCTGCCCTGTAGGAATGCTCAGAGGTGATGTTATTTCTTTGCTGTGTCTCAGTCTGGTCTCGTCTGTGGTCCTGCTCCATCCCCTGAGCTCTACTTCCTCTCATTCCGCACATGCTTTCTGCATAACTGTGGGGCAGTCTGAACTACGTCTGACACTGGAGAATTGCTTACATACTGCCTGCATATATACACACAACTATAACAGAAATATATATATATTTTTTCTCCACCTCGCCTGTTGAGGTTGGATAATTTAAGATTAGTAGTAGAAGTAAGATCAAAGGGATTGTTTGTTTGCATGAAGATCTATGTGGAACAGAGTGTATTTTGATATGATTTTCCCCAGAATGTACCCTACTGTAATTATTAACTTCCTTTTCCTTGTTTAGACTGGGTCTAAATTTGACTTCAGGCTTGGCCATGCAAGCCTTTTTATGTCTGTCCATAAAATAGAGGTACTACCATTATACTTAGTACTGAATAACTTGGATATATTTTAGAATAATAATACATATGAGTGGCACATTGTCCTGCCTTTTGTTTATATCTAGTTTACCTTTATGGAAATCGTTCTTTGACCTTTCCATTGAGTCTGATCACACCATTTGTTTAGTACATCTCACATGATAGTGGTCCTGTTGATTTGTATGCATACAAACACTTTACAGGAAGATACAGGGAGTCATGTATGTTAACATGTAACATGATTTACCCAACCTGAGTCCTCCTTCCTCAGCCTGGCAGTGAGAATTCCAATTATTGGCTCTAGCACGTTCCAAAATGCTGTATATACATTTTTAATGCTTTTTGGATATAAGATGTTTTTGTAAGCTGTCATATAATAGAAAGCACATTTTCATTAATCTAATAAAAGTATTATTCATAATATAGCATTGATATTTCTTGCATCTGTAAAGCCTACCTCCCAACAATGTATACCATGAAAAAAAGTGGTCTGTAATGTGTTTAGAACAGAACCCTTCATATTTACATCCGTACTGTATGAACCGTGAACTACAGGCCGTTTCAAACAGGGCTCCAACTCCCCAACTCCCTGAACCCCACAGGTTCCATCGTTCCACCTACAGCCAAACATGCCTAAGCTGTAGACTTATGAAGTTGTGCATCATCTTGTGACATTCCCAAATAAGGACTTTGGGTCTGAGCCATTTTCGTCTGTGGGAAAAATGCATGGCATTTGCAAAAATTGCTGCTATTGTACCCTGTGTTAAACAAAAATGTTCAATAGAACCATTTCTGAACACTGATCTTTTCATGAGATTGAATACATTTAAGTACACACTAAATTAAACGGACATGTTCAGGTTGGCTATGGAAGAGAATTTAGGAGCCCTAAGCAACTGCTTAACTGCTTATAGTGAGAAATACAATACTCAAGGTCTGAGGCTCTACCGGATGATGTTATAAAGGTTTCTTTACTTGGATCTGACAGTGTGAATGAGTAAGACCTCTTTATCCAGGATTGCTATAGATCTGATAGATGCAAGTTCCTCTTGATAGCTATTTAGAATAGATGACTTGTCCTCCCACTGGGCTTTATCGTCCAGATGATGATCATAACACCAAATGAGACTAGGCAGACAAAAAAAAAAGAAAATTGAATAAATGTAACACAAGTTCCCCCCTCTTCTCACCTCCTTTTCACTGAGTGTGGATAACAGCCTCTGAGCAGATGGATTCAACTTAGTTCAAATTGATGTGTGTAGCACTTTCTACAACAGGCATCACAAAGCAGCTTTGCTGACAAAACTCTCTGAGAGCAAAAGTAACATCAGTACAGAAACAGTGTAGGGGAACCAAGTATTTAGACACTTTGGTCATGCTATTTAATATACTTCCAGTGCATGTATCCACTTCAAATTCACACACATAATATCTTCACATGTGTTCATTAGCATAAGATTATAAAATTACAGACTACAATTATTAATTAAAATTACTCTTGTGGGATGAAGTGTACTCTGGTAAGATGAAAAACGGAACTGTTAGACAATAATTCAGCTCGTTTGGAAAAAGAAGTGTTGCTCATATGATCCCAAGAACACGATACTCACAGTGAAGCATGAAGGTGGGAGCATCATGACATGGAGCTGCTTCTCTGTAGATGGTACTGGGGCATTAAACATCATTGAAGGAAACATGAATGCAGCGATGTACCAGGACATATTAGTATCTGCACTAGAAGTATGTTAAATAGCAAAAACAAAAGTGTGAATGTTCCCCTCACCGTATCTAGCATCATAGCTTTGTCTACAAAGACCCAAACCTTGTATTTTGGGAAAATTCTTACAACTATATAAGTACATTTTAACACCATTCCCTCTGCTTTTATATTCCTTTAGATCAGAAACTTTTAACATTCTCGTTGTTTTTGTCAGCAGATACATCATCAGTATAGACAAATAAATCAGATAGGCAGCCCTGTTGGCAAATGCTTTGCAGTTCCTCCATTTCCTTCTCTCTCCTGCAGCAGAAGCTGCTATGAATGAGCTCAGTTGAATCTTTCTTGAGCAATATCTCAGCCACCATGTGCTCTGCAAAGACAGATAAGTGCTTGTTTCTACTAATGTAACTCTTTTGGATGCGCTAAATGCAAGCACTACTTTATGATTGCTTAACTTTAACAAATGATGAGCACCTGAAGAGACATCTCCTCAAAACTACACACAGTACTACCTTTTGTTACTTGATCGGTGTAATGCTGAATGTTACAGGCTGTACAGCCTCAGTGGTTTGTCCACATAGTGCTGGGCTTGAGGTCAAATACACAAACATGCACTGTGGACTACAGTAATGCCAGATATTTTAGAATTATTTTGAAATGAAAAGATCTTTGAAAAAAACTGGAATCTATAAAAAAAAAAATCAGTACAGATAGTGAGTCGTTCTCAAGTCAGGTCTCATGGAAGTGCAAACAAAACTATGAACAGGATCAAATCACTCTGCAGCACATACATCGTCAGACAGCTGAGGCAGTGCAGGGCAGTCAGATGCCCAGAGCTGCCAGGACTTAAACTCTCCTCCAGCTCACACTATTAAAACAGTAAATCACAAAGTGTTACACACTCTTGCTCACAAAAGCTCTTCACATTTCACTGTGGTTTGTTTTTCTTCATTCCGTCTGTCACTGGATAAAGACAATATTACTCTTTCATCAGTCTGTCCGTGATTGGCTAAAATCAGTACTTCTCTTCCACCAAACATTCTGTCATTGTTAAAGACAACATTATGTTTCCAACAAACTCTGTGATTGGCTAAATATTGCTTTTCCACCCAAACCTTCTATGACTGGAAAAGACTATATTGTTCTTCCATCAAACCTTCTGTGATTGTCAAAAGACAACACTATTCCTCTAACAAACCTTTTGAGAATGGCTAAAAACAGTATTTCTCTTCCATAGAACCTTCTGTGATTGGTTAATAATAATAATATTACTCTTTCACCAAACCTTCTGTCATCGGCTAAATACAGCACTACTCTTCCACATCCTCTGTGTAATTAGATAGACACTTCTATCATTGGTTAAACACAATTCAATACTATTTTTTTTCAGCATCCTTCCTAACAACCTCCCCAGCTCTGTTAATAACAAATTTATGACAAAGAAATGACAATTTTTATCGTTATCATGACAAACTACATGACAACATGTCGATTTCTGGGTATATTGTGGATATCGCGCATACTTCTAAAACACTGACCATCTGCATATTTCATTACAAAATAAGCATAATTAGGCCTTTTTAATTAATGCAATGAGGTGTATAAAATTGTAAATAATTATTTGTTCTTAAAGTTTTATTTATTTTAAATGCGGCACTTCAGGTATTTTGTCTGTTCCAACATTTCAGATGTCAGAAAAAAATAAATATTGTAACGTTGTGTAAATATTGAGTATCGTAAAAATTCGTAAAAAAGTATTGCGACAATGTACTTTTGGCATATTCACATAAACAAAACGATTCAAAATATGCTACTTAGTGGGAGCGACACTG